TATCCGTGAAAAGGTTAGAGCATCTCCATCGTCGAAAGGCTTTTTAGGACTTAGTCATGCTCTAAAGCAATGCAGTCATGATGATTTTCACGATTTGGTCATTTAAAAAGGTGGCCTTTCGATGATTAGAGAGCATGACTAATATTAGAGAGAGCCACCTTAAATGATTTGGTCATTTAAAAAGGTTAGAGCATATCCGTGAAAAGGTTAGAGCATCCTGTCACGACCCAACCCGACCGGGATCGGATCCCGCTCGCATCGGGTCACGACACAGTCGACAAATCCAGGATCTAGCTTTAGAATTTTCCTTAAATCTTTCTTCCAAATGTAATACAGACAGAAAAATAAACACAAAGCTACTATAAACATCCAATTACAGCACAGTTCTTTTATATTTTCTTTCACCAAAATAATCATATACATATACAGTGCATGGCTTGCCGACAGAAAGAACAGAACAGATAAGCCATGACTGTACAAAAATCAAAAGTACAAAATACCTAATCACAGATCAGACTCTGGATAGCTAATCCACAACTTCCTTTCCTTTCCCAGAACCTGAAAACCACGTAGAAAGCAAGGGTGAGCTAATAGCTCAGCAAGACATCAATCACCAATCAAAATCATCAGAAACTCATATCAAAATATCCGTACGATAATCATAGATCAAATACTTACTCAATCATAAATCCACAACAAATATAGAAACTGAAGTCATATCAAATCAGCGTTCAGAACAGAAGCTTTCAAATCACAGAATAAACAGAATCGTACGGCATAATCAGAATCGTACATATATCAGATGCTTCATCAAACAGATCGAATAAGTCATATAACAGATTTCAGATAGCAAACGTCATATTTCAGATAACATATCACATATCAGATTTCATATTCTCCAGACACTTACAGAATCTCGACGGATTCTGACCCCTTATCTCTCCATTCTCCTGACACTTACAGAATCTCGACAGATTCTGGCCCCTTATAGCTCATTTCCCTGACACTTACAGAATCTCGACTGATTCTGGCCCCTTATAGCTCCATTTTCATAGCACATACACATCAAATATTCAAATCATCTTGTTTCAAAAATTTCAGAAATAGTACGAAAATTCAGCGGCATAACGGCAGTATACAGAATTTACACAAAATTCACAGATTCAGAAATTTACCAAATTACCACAGAACATTCACAATAACATTGTAAGACTTTCATTATACTGACAAAACATTTTTCAACATCCTGATAATTCGCAGATCGCTTAAAACACCAAAAAATCCAAAATATCCGATAAAAATCTTCCATAAAATACTCGAAATGTGCACACTTAATATCTCAAAGACATATCAAAAGTTACGCGGTAAAACCTTAAGCAGTAGAAAATAACACACGAAATTCGCTAACATAAACAATTTTCGGAACAGAAAACACGTCAAAAATCTCGTTTCTGAAAATTGAGAAAGGCGGAATGTGCCTTACCTCGAGTCGATCAACTTCTTTAACTACTGCAACGAACGAAAACGGACCGGAGTTGCCCAAAAATCACTTTTCCTTCGTTTTTCTCTCTCCTGGACTTTTCTCTCTCTTCAAAATATCTCATTTCTATAAATATTCAGACTGATCGTCCTGGACGATCGCAACTTCGTCCCGGGACGATCCGGCTCTGGAGAAATTTCGTCCATACGAGATTAATTATCGTCCCCGGCGACTTGTCCTCTGGAAAATTTTCGTCCAGACGATCCAAATTTTGTCCAGACGAACTGCTCAATTTCCACAATTCCAACACAACCTGTACCGATCGTCCAGGGACGATCCAACTTCGTCCCGGACGAACCTGGAGCAAAAAAATGGTCTTTACACATCCTCACCTTAAAAAGGTTATAGCCTTTTTAGGACTTAGTCATGCTCTAAAAAATGGGTCATTCCATTATTCAATTATCTCTAATGGTTAAACACTCTTAGTTTTGTGTTAGCACTTATACACTTAATTATCTCTAGATGGTCCTCTCCCTCTCTTTTCTCTCCCTCAATCTCTCTCTTCCTATCTTGCTCTAACTAAAAGTAACAATCAACAAAATTAATTCCACCTAAACTAAAATAACACTTAATAAAAAAAAATTATATCAAACAAAACAATTACAACACCATAAAAAATAACCTTAAAATAGAATCAAATACTTAAAATAGAACATTAGAGATAATTGCCTATCTCTAATACTTGCAAATGTATTAAATCATCCAAAATAATCATAAAAATTATCTCTAATACTTGCAAATGTGTAGTGAGAACAAATAATCAAAGAAAAATCATAAAAATAACCTTAAAATAGAAATCGGACGGTTTAGGGTCGGACTAGGTCGGCGGTCGGGCGTCGGAGTTTAACCGTCGGGGGTCGGACAAACTTCGTCGGCGGCGGTCGGATTGGGGGCGGCGATCGGAGGAGATTCGTCGGCGGCTGTCGGACGAGCGGAGGCAAGCGTAGGCAACGGCAGAGCGAGTGACCGAGAGAGAGAAGGAAAGAGTAAAAATGAAATGCCAGGCGCGGGGCTGGTCGTATTAGGGCATCTACCAACGGTTTTCCGGCGGTCCGGACCGCCGGTAAAAAGTCACTTATCAACGGCGGTCTTCGATAAGGCACGACGCTAAAATTCAAAATTTTTATTAAAGAAAATCATTTCAAAAAAAAATCGGATGATTATGATGTACCCATCTTTAAAAAATATCGTTCGGCCCCGACATTTTCTTTAAGGATTTAGGCACAAAATCAATAAAAAAATCGTAAAATTAATTCAAATCGAATTAAAATTCATCAAACTCAATCAATTAAATACAAAAATGACAAATCTATACTGCTCGTCTGCTCAACTTCTACCCCACACATAAATAATATTCATATATCTCTGATTACAACAAATTCTTCCAACAAGTGCTTTGATACTAATTTATAGCTCACCAAAATCAAATTTGGAATTATTGTCTATTTATCATTTTAAGAATATACCAGAACTTATATAAATCATTAATATAAACAATAACCAGCGAAAACAACTAAAATTATATACATTAAGATATTTTATTATTTATTCATCCAAAATATCATTTACACTAGTCAGGAGATCACTCTACAAAAGAATAAAAAAAAATATAAAACCAAAATTTAAAGAAAACCTGATGATCTCCAACAATCTCACTCCAACTAGTCTTGACCATTCTGACCTGAATTCATTAAAAATCCACATAATGAGCTCAAAAGCCTAATAGTAATCCAAAATTCACTAAGGCTTTCAATGCAAGGACTAAAGAATTAATATGATATACTTAATCTAATATAGTCAATAGCAGTCAATATAGTTAATGATCAAATATTATCAATAAAACTCAAAATGATTAATAATAAAAGTAGGGAATCATTACAATTAATCTAACAATCAATAACTGATATAAAATTCAATAAGTCGGTAAAACAATAATGTAAAAATCATTCATAAATCACTAAAAGAATCTATCTTATCTATTCATACGCATATCTGTTGATATATTATCAATGGATCAAATATTGTCAATGTCGTCAATGTTTTTAATATATTCATGCATCAATGTACGGTTGTGCAAGGCAGTACATTCATCTTTAATATGATGTTTTCAACATATTTTGCCCCAGCTGATTCCTACTTGGTCATTAGTCATATATATTATCATTTATCCAATTAATCAATTATCATTACAAGTAGTTTCGTTAAATCAATAAAGAGTCGACACTCCCAACCCGTCAACATAAAATAAAAGTATTTGATATTAACTAGTTGGATACTCGATACTTGAATCAAATATAACATTTTAAAGATAAATCTATAATTAGTTTATATTTTTTTGATCAATGTGTAATATTTATAGAATATGGAATCAAGTAGAATATGCAAATATAAATTTAGATGATCTTCAGAGCAAGAAATCTAAAATCTAAATAAATTCTTTCTGCAAAATTATTTATTTTATTATGTTTTATTGTATATTAATGGTATAATTTCTAAAAGTTTTAATGATATTTTTTCTGCCTTAATGAATTTTAAATATAATTTAATTTGGGCTATCACATTTGTCTTCATAAACATCTTTAAGAAAACTTTTGTATAATTCTTTTTGTTCCATACCAAAAGCAACGCGTGAGGAAGCTCAATCATGAACCTGTTGGATGTATTGATGATGCGCATGTGGTTCTCAATCTCGTATATGATTTCAGAGCCCTAGCAATAGATTCCATCAAAAAGTTAAGAAAAAAAATCAATTGTTTTTTTGGCTGTTATGATAATTAATCCTAATCAGGTTTATTTGGTTTCATTATTAATGAAGTTAGCGTAGGTACAAATTATTTGAGAATCAAAGTAGACCTGAGACATATTTCTCTATTCTGTTCTGGTTTGGTTCTCACTAATTGCAATTATAGACTTCACTAATCTATGCTTGATTTGAGCCTTCATAAAAAGGAATGCTTTAACTTTCTTTGCCTCAAACATTCATATACATGCACTAATCTCTCTTCAAGGACCAGACGGCGAGAACTGTCCGGATTTGTTGCACTTTTACTGTCCTTTTGCTGCACTTTTGCATATACTCAGCAAAAGGGCAGCAAACATGCCATTATGAATGCACTTTTGCTGTTTAATTGATGCGCATTTACAAAAGAGAAGCAAAAGCGCAAGAAATATTCAAGTACTAGCATATTTGGTATGCTTTAGCTATGCTTTGCTGCTTTTTTATAAAAACGCGGCAAATACTCGACAAAAGTGCATTCATAATTGCATATTTGCTGTTATTTTGCTAATTATTTGCAAAAGTGCAACAAAAGAATAGTAAAAAAGTAGCAAATCCGGACGGTCATCGCCGTCCTGTATACGCAGAGAATAATTTCTCCTCTTCAAGATGATAATTCTCTTGAAAATGTTTGCTATTCTGAATTTTATTCATCTAACAACTTGTCATTACAAAAAATTCCAGAAGCAAATTTGCTGTTTGTGGAGTCTCCTGTAGGCGTTGGCTTCTCCTACACAAATACAAGTTCAGATTTGCTGCATCTGGGAGATGCCATCACTGGTACAAAACTTAGGATAATCTTCCCTTCTGCTTCGCATGTTAATTAAGCAAGTAGTAATCGGTGAAAAATTAACTCCATAACATCTATACTATTTTCAGCAAATGATTCTTATTCATTTTTGGTGAACTGGTTCAAGAGGTTTCCACAATACAAGCACTTTGAATTCTATATAGCTGGAGAAAGCTATGCTGGTACTGTATCTTATAAATTAAGACGTTCTTCTGCATAATTTTAATGAACTTGGACTTATTTTGTTCTCCTTACATTAAGCTCAGGACATTATGTCCCTCAACTTGCTGAGAAAATTTTTGATGCTAACGAAGAATCTAAGGAGAATTATATTAATTTCAAAGGCTTCATGGTAGGTATCACATACCTGTCACAATACTTTAAAAGCATTTTTTTTTTCAATTATTTGATTCCACCTTCTGCATGCAACAGCAAAAATGATAAATTTTTATGATTATACAGATAGGAAATGCTTTGATGGACGACGAGACGGATCAGACGGGGATGATTGAATATGCGTGGGATCACGCCGTTATCTCGGATAAGGTATACCGAGATATCAAGAAAACCTGCAATTTCAGTATAGAACACGACAACGATTCTTGTAGTGCTGCACTGGATAGATATTTCCAGGTCTACAATATAATCGACATGTACAGCTTGTATGTTCCCATATGTGTTGAAAACAATTCGACCAAAGGATTTACCATGATTGAAGGCGTCGCTCCGAAGCTCTTCTCCAAATATGTAAGCTTTCAGTTTATGTTATTTGCAGATTGTTCACAGAGAATCACTGCTTAGTCATATTGGATAGATTTGTTTGATGCAAATGAAAATTAATCTAAATGAAAGCTTTGTTTGGGATGGTTTTTTTACCGCAGTAAGAAAGTTGTAGATTTGCAATTCCCCCCTGAATTAGTTTCACCATAAAAAAGAAAGTATAATTAATAATTTCAGATGATGCTTGCAGTTCCACATATCAGTAATTTAATTGTAGATTTGTTTGAAAAGTATAAGTTTTTTATGTACAGAAAATAAAAGATTGATACAGTTTTGGAACTTTTTAACAGAGAGAATGGCATCAGAAGCCTGCTGGTTATGATCCTTGTATTGACAGTTACACAGAGGTATACTTCAATAGGCCAGATGTGCAGGAAGCCTTGCATGCCAATGTCACAAAAATAGGCTACAATTGGACTCACTGCAGGTATGTAACCTATCATTAAAATCCTTTTTAAATCCAAATATATATTATTTTTCATAAGAAAGGAAGATAAACTCTTTTTCTTTGACAATGAAATTGTTTTTTTGTATCAGTGATGCCATCGAAAAATGGAATGATGCACCAGCCTCGGTTCTCCCTATCATAAAGAAGCTCATTAATGGTGGCATCAGAGTATGGGTTTACAGGTAGGATTTCAATCGAAGTTATCTATTAGCAGAGTTGGTTCCAAAGAGTTCAATGTCGCTTAGATTAGCCTTAATGAAAGGCTTCAGGGAAGAACATAGAAAGTACTAACAAACGAGCATGCAACCAAAGTGAAAACATTCAACTTAGGGCTTCTCCAACCGAAAATTTCATTTTTCACTCCAAAATACAGTGAAACTAAAAAAATGACGTAATTCATCTCGAATCAAAATCCATTTTACGCCCTTTGCAGAAGGTAACCGTCTTTCTCTCTTTCGCGCGTTTCTTCGGCAAATCCAATAGAGAGAGAAAAATAAAGCAAGTGAACAGTGCAACATCACTATTGACGTCGCACTATTCACCCGCAAATAAATACTGGAAGTTTTGCAGTTCGGTTGGAGGTCACGAGCGACGCCATTCATGCATTTGGAGTCCGATTGGAGAAGGCCTTCGAAGGCAAGACGTTAGAAATAACATTAGGAATGAACCCTTTTAGAACTATGATGCCCAACTTGAGCTCATTAAGGAAGTGAAGGTTGATGCCCCTAGTTATGATAACAGTTCATGACCAAATAGATTTCTTGATTGGCTAACTCAGATGGTTGGGTTCTTTAAATGGTATCACATGGATGACTATCAAAAGACTAGATTTGCAAGAATGAAACTATCTTTAGAGAATGAAACTATCTTTAGAGTCAGTCAAATAGAGTTATAAGTTTCATTTGGGATGTCTTTCTTTCTACTTCTTAAAGCAGCTTTCTAGTGCAAAAATTACTAAGAAACTGATTTAAGAAGCAATAAAAAGCCGTCCCAAACAAAGCTATAATCCGTTCATCCAAATAATTTCTAAGAATTTCATAAAAGAAGCAAGAAATAATGAGAATTCCTCTTAGATTAATAATTTCTTTGATGCAGTGGAGACACTGATGGTAGGATTCCAGTCACCGCAACAAGATTAACCCTTCATAAGCTTGGTTTGAACACTACGCAAGAATGGAAGCCTTGGTACAACAGGCAGCAGGTATCACATAAAAATTCTGAATGTTTTTCTTCATTACTTCAAAACTTTGATAAATAATGAGTTATTTTTCTTCAACAATTCAGGTTGGTGGTTGGACAATCATCTATGATGGTCTAACTTTTGTAACAGTTCGCGGTGCCGGGCACCAAGTACCAACATTTGCTCCAAGGCAAGCACAGCAGCTTGTGTCACATTTCTTGGCTGATCAACAGTTGCCTTCATCAGCCTTTTAGCTTTCATTATTTCTTTCATTTCTTCATAATTTTTATAACTGTTGGCAAGAGGTTTAAGACAAATTTCCCAACAGCTTGTTTCCAAGATAAACGTGCAGATTCTAATAAAGAAAATTCAGAATGGAAGAGCTCATCTGCTTTTCTTCTTAGTTGTTTTTTTTTACAAGTTTAATTTTTCTTTCTTTTGGAAGGAAAATGATGAACATGGCCTCAGCATATTAAATGAACCACGTCTTTTTTTTTTTTTAATAAAATGGTAATGAAGTCTAAAATCACCAGAGAAAGTCATTGGGACCTCATAACGGTAAGCTAAGAACATGTGCATTAGATGAGGTTCAATAAGTCTTGCCAGGAATATTCAATTACTCATGTTGTTACCAGTCACTTTCATTTCGAGGATAAATTATTCAGTGCGGAGGCCGGATAAAGAACGCTGTCCGGAGACCAACTAGAATGCACCACATTAGCAATACTGAGCCGCGATATCGAGCAATACCGAGCAGCGGTACCGAGCGAAGGGGTGATGTGGCGCATTCTGGTTGGTCTCCGGATGGCATTCGGCGTCCACACAGAATAATTAATCTAGTCAAAGAAAGTATCATCTTGCATCTTGCTACCAAGTCAAAATAATAATAAAAAAAAAAACTCAATTCATACTGCTTAGACTGCTCACACCCTTAATTAGGCATCTATCTTTGAAGGCAGTTAAAGCTGGCTTTTACAAGAAATTAACTTCACTTCCAACTCTCTACCCATCCTATCACCAATAACAAGACCAAGCTCCAAAGGAAACCAACATTAGAGGGAGAAGAACAGAGATTAGGAAGCAGAAAGTTATCACAGAGCAATAGCTAATAGGATAAGCAATTTGGCACAGAATCATTCAAGTCATGTTCGAGTAAATTTAGCTCAGCTAGAAAGAAAAAATTCTACTTAATTTAAGTTCAGCAGGCTAGACTTCAAATGATTCGATTTCCATTCAACTCCAATTTGATTTTTAATTGATTATGTGCAAAATTATAAACAGGAAACTGTGTAAGATAAAATTATACTTGCCAACTAAGGTAAACTTACAATGAATTTTTTTTTTTTTCATTCACCTAGACCACATCACCATGCATTCAACACTTTTATTTTTCATCTTATTCGTGTAAGTAGCCACATAAGCTTTTGCACAAAAATTCATAAAATCTCAAAACCTATAACATCTTTATGCCATCATAAATGTAGATGCTTGATATTTGACAAACTCAAATAGATTATTTAATGTTACTAATAATACCTATAACATCTATATGCCAACATAAATGTAGATACTGCAAGTATAACTGTGATTCTATACCCCGAATTCTAGCTTCGCCTCTTCCTTTGAGCCTGGAGCTACATCCTGGCCTTCCGTCGTTCGCCTGCCCTTAGGGAAGTTTTCCTCTCCCGGTTTTCGTCTTGTCTCTATTCGGTTTTCTATTGTGTCATTTTCTCTGCTTGTCATTATGGATGGTCGTCTTGTTGATCTAGAATTCTTAATGGGGATGCCTTCCTCACGTTCCTTCAAAGATGCTTTAACTAATGACTCTCATTCTTCAAGTTTTCCTAAGATGAAAATCACTTCACATCACGACATGTCGTTGCTCTGGATTTTGGAAGGTGAAATCTTAGCTCTTGCTGCACCCTTTGAGTTCGCCCTTGTTAGTAAATTTCCAGCTCGATGACGTCCGTCCCTTGAGGTCATCCATAAATTCTTTTTCAATCTGAAACTTATTGGTGAAGTTTTTGTGACCATTCTCAATATGAGGCATGTTCTGATTAATCTAGTTAATGATTTGGATTACTGTATGGTATTTTCTCACCAATCTTATTTTGTGAACAATTGCTATAAGAAGCTTTTTAAGTGGTCTCCATGTTTGATGTTGAGGTGGAATCTCCCATAATCCCCATTTGGGTATCTTTTTCCCATCTTAGACCTCACCTTTTTTCACCATGTATCCTTAATGGATTAGGTTCCCTTTTTGGTCGGCCTCTAAAACCGACCATGCTACTGTTTGTGGTTATAGGCTGTCGATTGCTCGAGTTCTAGTTGAGATGTGACCAAACAGTATCCATATCGGGTGTGGGTTGGTCCGGAAAATTTGGATTATGTTCAAGTTGTTATCAAGGAAGAATTTCCTTCTTATTGCTTACATTCATTGTAAATCTCTTGTCCATTCGAAGTTGGAATGTTGTTCCCTGAACACTATTCCTCCTTCTAAACCTCTTGCGAGTAATGAGAGTGTTTTTCCAACTATTTGTGGAGGTTCATAATGAGAAGGTGGATTTGGATCCTCTAAAGGAGGTTGTTGATGTTGGTGAAGGTCATTTTGGAAGCTATACTAATGGTGGTAGTTTGGGTTTGCCCGCTCCTGTGGCAACTTCTGTGATGTCTCCTAAGATTGTGTTGATTTCTGAGGTTGCGCACTCTCCTGAGCTAATGGTTGCCCCTGATGGTTTGGTTAATGATGGTATTGAGGTAATGGATCCCGTGCAAGAGGCTGATGATTCTGTAGCTGTTATTGGTAAGGATTCATTGGATGTTATTCTTACGATGTTATTATTACTGTTTCTCTTGTCTTGAATGTGGCTAACATAGAGTTATGTTGTGTTAACAATGTGGTGTTAAAGGTTTCTTTAGGTGGTATGCATGATGTTCTTGATGAACCTGGTATGCCATCTTCTTTGGCTAATCGCACAGTTGATATCTCTGCTGGTATTATTTCCAATGATAATTTAAAAGCTCAATCAAAATTGTCAATGCATAATACTTGTAAGGAACAATCTGATTGGCTTGAAGACAACTAGGCCTTGCCTGGTGAGGGTGAGCGGGTGGATTTACAAGGAGACGAGGTGGAGTTTGATGAAATGTTTAATTTGAATGTGAACCATTTGGTTAAGAAGGCTTTCTCCTAGGGCAGTGGCAAACGTAGGGGACGTAAACCTAAAAGGAAGTAATGTGGTTGGTCTCTTCTTGTTGGGTCGAGAACGTCTTTTGTTTCCTTAGTCATTTTGTATCTCTCTTGACATTGCTTGGAATTTGGATTGTTGAGGATGTGCTCGGATTGGGTTGGCTTACTGGTTGCTTTGTTTATTTTTTGGACAATGATGTGGCTAGGTTTTGCTTGCCATCTGGAGTGTCGAGGCCTGTTGGCAACCATTGGTGGTGCTGCAAATTTATCTCAGTTGATCCTTCGTTAATTTTGGTGCCTTCCGCCTGGGCGGCCCTTGCCTGGCATCTGGGTGGTTATAATTTCTTTGCAAATTGCTAAGCCTGGTGTCTTCTTTGTCATATGTTTTGCTTCACTGTGAACCTATCTTTTTATTACCTGCTGGTTGTATCATCCTTTTTATTTATTGGAATTAAAAAAAAAAAAAAGCCTTTTAGGTTAAAAACAAATGTAGATACTGCAAGTATTTTTTAAAAGATGGAGGATTTCCTAGCTAGAATTTAGATATTTGGGTTTGCATGTAACATGTTAAGTTTGCCTAGTTAAATTTATATTACTTTGCAATAGGAGAATATGTCTGATAAGATTAATGATAGAAACAATATGGTAGATTCACAAAAAGAATAACTTGAAAGCATTTTAGAAATAAATAAGTTTGTTGAAATTCAGAAGCAGCTCCTCCCCTCTTAGGCTTCGTTTGGGATGGTTTTTTCACTGCTTCTTAAAGCAACTTTCTAGTATTAAAATTTTAATTTTTGAACTAAAAAGTCGCTTTAAGAAGTAGTAAGAAAGCTGTCCCAAACGAAGCCTTAGAGGAGTCTCTTACAGTTAGATAATTGATTGATTCTCATATGCGAAGAGAGTGAAAGGCCAGGTGATTGGTTGATTATTCTCATGCAGCTTCAATAATACTGAGGCTTCATTTGGAATTTTAGCCCAAAAATTATTTATAGATTTGTATTCATGTTTTCTTTCTCCTATCACTATAATTTTTTTTTAAAATTATTATAATATATATTTAATCATTGATAATTTAATTCTACGACGTAGAATTACTAAAGAGGGGAAGAGTTGATGACCGTCAATGAATGAATATTTTTTTATGAATAATCATATTTAGTATAAGATTGATATATTGATTAAAATGATACAATATTTCATGAATGAAGGAGAATTGTGTGGTTTATGAATTATTTTCATTGAATGGAGTTTCATGTAAGTTTGAATTTCTCATGATGATGAAGCTATTAGTCAACATTTGGATGGATGGATAATTTTGTAATTGAGTCTAATTTAATGGATGAAATCAGATAATGATACTAATGTAACAAATATAATTGCGAGATAAAAATTGATCAAGGAGTCGCAATGATTTTTTTGTGATTTGAGCTTAAACTAGCCTTCATTCATGTCAAAGCATTTCACATGCTTAAGATTTTATTATCTTAATCAATCACCCAATCACTACAAGTTGATAAAAACCATTATAATCATCTTACATAAAGTGTGAAAGGGCCCTTGATCTGCAATTGGATATGGGCCCCCATTAAGCCTTCTTTTTTTTATGACGAGGAACCGCCCGCTGCCACAGTACCCGACTTCATCGAGTCCGTAAACCCCGACCGACCTAATGGGCCACCCAGGCCACAAACCCATAACCCAGGCCACAAACCCATAACCTTAAGGGCCGACTGCCGCTCGAGGGAATCGAACTCGGGATGGGGGGTTCTTAACCGAGCACGCCTAACAACCGAGATAAGCATTGGTGGGTCATTAAGCCTTCTTCAAGAGACTTAGTATAACATATAACTATAAGTGAGTACAAAAAAGAAATTTTATAAGCAAATAATATCTTATACATTAAGAAATAATTTTTTTATTATTTTTCTTGTTGTTTTGGTTGCTTGGAAACTTGCTTGGCATATAACATTTATTTGGCTAGCTTGAATCTCCATGTCCTACTTTTGGTCATCTCAATGGGTGGAATTTGATGGATTTGTCATCGACCAAACAATTGCAAAATTTGAGAAGCTTTGAAATAATTAAAGATTCGTTTGAGATAGTTTTTTTGTTGCTTTATAAAATAGCTTTCTAATATAAAAATTTTTTAATTAGAAAGCTGTTTTAGAAAGCAGAGAGAAAGCTATCACAAACAAAGCCTAAATCTTCACGGTAGCTCAAAAAAAATCAAATATTTAAAATGCTAATAGTCACTTGATCTTCCATGGCCAAAATTTGATGAAGAGGTGGGCTTTATTTCATGTTTCAATGCAACTATGATTATAATTATTCAAGGCTCATACTAATAATAATATTAAATGCCATAATATGATAAAAATGATAATAAGAAGCTCACATAATAATTTTTTTATATGATTTTAAAGCTTACAAAATTAATTCCATAATTTTACTTTCTCAAAATAATCTAAAATTTTCATAAATAATTTTCATCCTCTTGCACTACATCAGTTACCAATGACCTACATACATTTTTATATATCTTGATTTTTTTAACTTTGTTTTACTAAGTATATTTTTGCAAAATAAGTTTATTCCTTCACTTAAAAAAGTATTTCTAGCATAACATAAAAATATAATTAAGGATATTTAAAGGAAAATAAATACAATATAAATTCAAATGATGGTGAAGACGGTAATGATGACGGTGGTGGATGATAGCAGTCAGTGGTAACACAACTTGCAGTGAAAAATGAATTCATCCAAAATTGGACGATTTTATAATACATAAGAAATGAACAATAAAGTGAAACAAGAATTCACTAACATTACAATGTATTTTTTCATCTCAAACACATAAAATTTAAAATATCTTGTATTTGAAATATTTTTTATTCTTTTTTCAACAAATCAAATAGCTCCTTAAAAAATAAAGATATTTAAGGTAAAATTTTAATTTAGAAAAATGTATATTTTTAATGGAGATTAAAGATATTATTTATTTTATGAAATTTTTAATATTGTTGTATTTATTGTTATTTTAAATAATACAAAGTTTATAAACATATTAAAAAAACATCAACTGCTTGAGCTTCTCAGTTATATGGTAAATTATTGCATCCGGTTGCTGGACGCGAAGGATATGTTCGGACATCCAATAAAAACATGCCACGTCACCTGCGCTTTTGACTTGCGCTTTAGGTGTGTTTTAGTTGCGCTTTGACTGCGCTTTACCTGTGCTTTTGACTTGCGCTTTGCCTGTGCTTTACATGCGCTTTTCCTACGCTTAATTTAAAATAATATTTTATTAATATTCGAACCTATCTCCCCGTCTGGTGACCGGATGCAATAATTTGCCCAGTTATATTGACAAAGATTGTGAGTACTACATTCAGGCAACTCTACTGGATACAGCATTTTTTTGGGACTATCTAATCCTAATTCAGTAAGCATCATCTATTTAGGCTTCATTTGGGACGGATTTCTTTCTGCTTAAAGTAAATTTTTAGTACAAAATTTTTAAATTTTATACCAAAAAGATACTTTAAGAAGCGATAAGAAACCAGTCCCAAACTAAGACTTAATATCCATATACAACAAAACAAAATCATTAACTTTCTCTACGTTATTTGATTTTCATATTAAAGTGTAATATTTTGTTTGAGAGGATTTTTTTGTTGTTTCTTAAAGTAGCTTTTTAGTACAAAATTAAAAATTTTATACTAGAAAATAGCTTTAAGAAGCAATAATAAAGCTGTCCCAAAGTCTCATCATTGAACATTCTTAACATATAAACTAAAATATAGTAGGATTATCACAATGCACACTAAACTATAACATTTACACACAAATGAACATAAGAGTTGTTATCTTTATTTATCAAGCCATTTTTTTTCTTCAATTCAAGACTCACTTTTTTAGAAGTTTTTGAATTTGTTGGAGATTTGTTGGAGAATGAATACAAAATATTTAAATGCAGATGGTTATAAATTTTGGGCGTAGAGCTTAATGAAAAAGAAATACAGAGTAAATTTTTAGAGAATTCTTTTTCATTCCCTATTTTCATTTTTGATGTATTGTAAACTCACTCAATTTCAACTGAATTTATTTTTCATCATAAGCTGACTGTGTTGTTGCTGCCCGCAGCCTGCCATAGATCACCATCAGCCTCTGCTGCCATCTACTTCCACCGCCGCCACCATAGCTGCTACTCATTGTCAACGACATCGATTGCCACCACTAACTGCTGTACATCAGAAGCCTACATGTCGATTGTTGGTGCAACCACCATCACTATTGCCTAGCTCCCTCCCACCACCATCCACCGCTATTGATCACTATGATCATTTAATTCATTTTATTTCAAATAAAAATATAATCAACTATATTTTTTTTAGACTCATCTAAACAATCTTAAACATTTAAAACTTCCTTCTACAAACTATATTCCTTTTGGTGATTCTTTTTAAGTAAATCAAACAGCCCCTACAAACCCCCTACAAACATAATTAACATTTAATGTGGCCTTCTGAGCTTCAGGAGAAATTATTCTGTGCGGAATCCGGTTATAGAGCAGTGTTCGGATGCCAGTAAAATCATTACGCGTGGCGTGCTTACGTGGAAAGTTAGGATATTCATTTGACTTTTTACCCGACTCATTTGTCTTTTCGGACTTACTGTAGACGAAGAGAAATCCACAACAAATAAGCAGAAAATGCGCAATATATATGCAACAAATACTCAATAAATACTCAACAAATACATAATAAAATACTCAATAAATACGCACATTTTACACAACGAATACACAATAAATATTCAATCAATTCGTAAGTCAAATAAATATCACCAACTTTTAACTTTTCATGTAAACATCCAAACACAACTCTGTAACCAAAATTCCAGACAGAATAATTTCTCGAGCTTCAGCGCATCGCCCATGAAATACACACTTTTTTTAGCGAATTCGGAGCCGTCCAGTTAATGGATGTTATCTCTGTTCCCACTTTCTTCTCTCCAAAAGCCCTAGGAACTAAACCCCATAAATCTCCCCCTTCGTTTCGCCGCTCTTCCCGACGGCCTCTGCCGCCGAAGACTCCATCTCCTCCCAGGCTACCTGCCGCCGTTCGCCGACCAAAAGTTTCTAGCAATCCCCTAAGCAGTTCCTCAAATGCACAAAACTCTCCACCTTCTAATCCTTTAGACAGCAAGCTCTGGCTGTCCAGCAAGATTTGTCCTTCTCCTTCTACTGCTTCCCCTCCAGTCAATGATAACCCAGAGACCAGTCATTATGGTGGTGACGCCGTGGAGCTTTGCAGCACGGATTATCGTCAGAAAGGGAAGATCTTTTTGGGTAATCTTCCATTGTGGATTAAGAAGAACGAGATTGCCGAGTTCTTCAGGCAGTTCGGGCCGGTGAAGAATGTCGTGCTTATCAGAGGCCACGAGGACCCCGAGCGGAACGTAGGGTACTGCTTCCTGATCTATGGAGGCCCAACTGCAGAGGAGGCGGCGGGGAGGGCAGTAGAGTTCGATGGCATGGAGTTCCATGGTAGAGTGCTCACTGTAAGGTTGGATGATGGCAGTAGGCTTAGGGCAAGGGCGGAAGAGAGGGCTAAATGGGTGGCTGGGGAAAAGAGGGAGTTCCGGTCGAAGTGGCATGAGGATCGGGATGTTGCTTGCCGGAGGTTCCGGACAGTTCTAGATACAGAGCCGGAGAATTGGCAGGCCGTTATCTCCGCCTTTGAGAAGATATCAAAGGTATCCTCTCACTCGTGAACAGTCGCAGCATTTTTTTATAGTTCTGTAGAATTTAGCGCTATCATTTGTATTGATAACCTGATACGTTAGTTTTTATAAGGTTAATACCATCTAAATCATTGTGCGTAGAATCAATCTGACCTTTATGGTTGCAAAATTAAATAGTCAATCTTGTGGGCTTCAAAATATTCTCACTGAAAAGATTTCAGTGTTTGGGTAGTGGTCCCGGAATTACCACGACCAACAAATCCTAACATAAATATTTAATTATCAGTGGAAGAGAGGTTAGAATATGTATTCTATAGATTTTTTCCTCAAGGCTATAAGTGACTAAGTAAAGTTTATTTAGTCATGGGGGTGGAGTTCTTCCATGAGCGTAAGCCTCAATGATTAATTACATCTCGACTGCAAAATGCAAGAGTATTCTCAATTTAGGAGTTTTGTTTGTGTTCTTGATTTAGCAAAAAAGGGTTTTTTGGGCAACAAACTATCAAGAGGAGGTTTAGTCAAGCAGAAGGTGTCCATAAGGCAATAGAGTGACTAGAAAGGCAATAAAGTGACTAGAGTGTCAATAGCTTGATAAGGATTTTGATGCCTTCTCTTCAAGAGTTTGAGCAAGAATAGGTCAACTGGATTGGGCATAACTGAAATGCTTGAGAGAATACCTAGGTCCTACTATACTTAGGAAAGGACATCCTAAAAAGGGACATAAGGGGTGCAATGCATTGAAAGTTGGCATCACTTATGGTTTTTGAAGGGATGGTGCATGAAAAGATTAATAAGTTTATGCTAGTTGCAAAGGGAGATTGCTATAATTGACCAAGAAAAGGATAGAACCTATTATTTTCTATACCAACTAGAGAAAATGCTTACATTTGACTCATAACAAACTAATGGGGTAGTTGCCTTGATGACCAACTAGAAAGTGGGGCTTATGACTCTACAAAAACTAGGGTGAGCTTCTTAGGTTGCGTCTTACATCACCACTCACGTGAATGCCCTCCTAAATCTAATACAAATAAAAGGGATACATGTGACCGTTTTTCCACCTACTAGGACGATATAAAGATATTTACAACCCAACTATGAAAGATCAGGAAGCCCTAAACTATTTTTATTTCCTAAGGAATGCCACTAAGTTCCTTATGTGAGTTTTAAAGCAATGTCATTTAGGTCTTTACACAATGCAAAATAGACTAATCAATAAGGAGGATATCTGTCTTAAAATCCTCCCCTATTTGCATGATGTCCGAACATGCATGTGGGGGGTCATTATACATTTGATGATTACATTAGTTACGTAGTTTACTTACATACATGTCTTAGTTTTGTTTGTTTGTATCATGCCTATACACTAGGGCACATCTTGCATTGTGTTAAGAGCCCAAAATATGATGGGTCCTAATTTGCTCATTAGAAAAAATCTTTCCTCTTTGGTGCTAGTTGGTTAATTTGGGCAGATATTAGAAGAGTGTGCAAATCTTGAACTATTTTTGGAGCATGTATATTAATACCTAACAGTCAAGTGTTTAGCACTTAAGCCTAAATTTCAAGAAGAGTTTACTAATGTTATGAAAGTTGAAGCAAATCTAGAGGAAATGAGTCGATCAACATGCTATGATCAGACACATGGACAAGAATTAGTTCAGTGGAAGGGAATAGGGAAACAAATCAACAGGCTGGTTGTAAATAGGATGAAAGTCTTTGGCCAAATGCCAACTGGGAAAACAATGTTGGGTGCCAAGATTTGGATATCACTTAGTGGAGAAGTGCCCAAGGAGGGTATCCTGATCGGGGTTTTAGGAGTTAGCACTAATGAGTTGCAACATGTGTAAAATTTAGATTCTTCGGGACACAGTTGTCCAATGGAAGGCGCTGAGGTAGAACACCCAGATTGACAAAATGACATTAAAGGGTTGGGGCCTAACAGTTGGCACTGAAGGAATTGGTCGTAATTTGATAAGAAAATGTGTTGACATTGGTAAATGATCGTGGTTCCAAAGTTACTGGTGCATGCTTGCAATTATAGCAGTGAATTTATTTTATATGACTTGATCAAATATGAACTATCATGGCAAGTTCTTTAGCTTTGCCTGGCTGTACATATATGAAGTATGCGGGCTTTCTTTTGGATGAACGTCATACAACATGAAGCTATTTTGCTGCAGTTTTATTTTGTTTGCATTCAATACACTGCTCTTGCTTTCTCCAAATGATTACATTAATTCCTTGAAAATGCTTTTTCCTGTTTAGCCTTCAAGAAGGGAGTTTGGGTTGATGGTTAACTATTATGCCAGGAGAGGAGACAAGCATCATGCTCGTGCTACTTTTGAGAACATGAGGGCAAGAGGAATAGAGCCTAATTCTTATGTGTTTACCAAGTAAGCAAAATTTTATGATATTCTTTTAAGCAAAATCATCTTTTTTTTAACCTTCACCTAATACTTGCCTTGAAAAAAATATTAGAGTGAGTGTATTGAGCAATTTTTTGTTTTTTTATTTAGCTTGGATTAAACTCATTTTTTTATAGCAGTTGTTTGCACTTTATTTTTCTTTTGTTGTCCACATATGTGATGAGGAAGGAATAACAAAATCATTTATAAAGCTAACCTCAATAGTTTTGACAAGGCTAGTCATAATGATGATGCTTATATTTAAATTTGTTTTTTTTGTTGAATCTTTAAGAAATTCTATAAGGCTAGGTAAAATTATACTTGCTTTTATAAGTGGACTTCATTCCATGCCTTCATTCTTTTTTAACCTTTGTTTGGCTTGGCCTGCTATGCTACTCACTATTTATCAAAAAAATATTATCTTTCTATAAAATATTGCCTGAAAGATAATACACCCCAATAGTACGGGACTTACAAAAACAATAACAACATCAACCATTCATCCCACTATATGGAGTCGAACAATATGGGACATGATTAAGAGATTTAATCTCAAACCCATGGGATAAACTTCAAGATTTTAGATCAAATTTAAAAAATTTGTATTCAAGAGGAAAATTTTCATGTATAAATATTTGAAGCACAATGTATGATCATAAATATAAGAGATGACATTAATAAAGTCTTTATCAATATTTCAATAAAGAAAATAGAACATCTACTAATGAAAAGGAAAACAAAGGAAAGGAACAAATTGCATGAGCAATAACTAGCCCAAAACTCAATAGAAGTATAAATAAAGAGCTTCAATCCAAACACAAATGCCGAATTAATGAAAAAACTATTGTGAAAGATATACTTCTGTAGTAACGGTCCACTGTGCAAACTAGTAGATTCTATTAAAAAATTTACCATAAATATATTTGATATATAAATTTAATAGGTAACTTCTATTCATTAAAATATAAATGGCAAGGTGATGAACATTAAAAGATATATGATTTATAATATAATATCAATATAAGGAATGCCATTAGAATAATATTGCCTGTCAAAATGTATCGATTGTTTTAAGATGATGCACAATATGTTGAGTCATGATTATTCATATAAATAATAAAAATCAATGCAATTCTATGTTAACATATTCATGTGCAATCACATCTGGCATATTCATATATATCCAAGAGTGTCTCATCTATTATCTTTCATAATATCTTTTAAAATTGTGAATATATCTATAGCCAGCCTATTAAGGCATGATTTACGTCCATTATAAACAAGCATAAACTATATATATATAGTGAGTGCGTGAAAAAAAAATCATTTTATTTTCCTTTCGATCACTCTAAAATATTGTAGCTTTTGTCATAAATGCTAGTGGCTTTTGCAACAGTATTTCATGTCAAATCATCATTATGAGTAATTAATTCATTATCTTCATTTGATTCATTATCTATTTTTTTTATTAGCCACTTATTTACATCATTTATATCATTTTAAAGAAGTAGGGTCAAGTACGTCACTATGATTTTATTTGCGATTCAATGCCCTATTATATTCTACATAAACTAAATCTTTGAGTCCACCATGATCCATTCTGCTTTAAAAAATATAAAACTTCATGAAAACAATCTATACATAATTTCATTTTGTACTTATATGTTTAAATATATTCCAAATATGTTCAAATTCATATTAACTACTAGTTAGGTTTAGGACTTTAATTGCAAAATTTTGTGTGGAGCTCCTTTGCCATACACTAGCCATCAATCAGTTGAAAGTAGTGAGATATTTAAGAACTTTTATTATTATTTAAATATCAAACTATTGCTTATTATTAATTATAATTTTACTTAAATCATGTTTCTCATTGCCATACGTATCTGATTGATGACTAGCCTTAATCGAAAGTTCTCTCTCGTTATCGAGAGGGGTAATTAACTATAGGGGCTTGCGCCTATAGGAAACCAGAACTCAGATCATAAAGTCCTCACAAAATGAGGGCGAAATCTCTGGGTAGTGTCTTATCTACAAACCTATCTGCCTTCCAAAATTTACCCCGGAACTTATTCTGTTAAAACTCCCCCTCGCTCAAAGCAAAAAGAAATTGCGCGGCGGGGAGGCCGGGGCCGAATTTTCGGAGCCCACATCAGACAATGAGCTGCTTAAGGAGTCCAGTATGTATTGATATTTATCCTTAAATATTTTTCGTACAATAATATTAATAGTCATGCAACAATAAATTAATATCCTACTTTATATAACTCAAACCAAATGGAAGTTTATAGTGAGTGACACACTTACAAGAATGTTTTCATAGGCATCATTTGTAACCATTTGAATGCACACCATGTGACCCAATGTCCTCAACAAACTTATTTATCAATTCAAATGCTTCACTACATTCTTTGAATAAGAATTGATATCAACTAACTTAATGAATGCTATTCCTTTTGGACAATTCGCCAAAAAATGACTAAAAGTTTCCCATTACGTGATGTCAAATCATTAGCTGTAAGAGAACAACCGTATCTAAGGTGAATTTCCTTATGGTTTTATAGTAGTTTTTGTATGTCCTTTTTGTTTTAAGAAAAAGATGTGCACCTCATGATGGAAAGTATGTTTAATCCAATGATCAAATTGTCCAACTGCCTCTATTATAATAAGGAAGTCATCATACTTAATATCATTGAATGTAATGTCACATCAGACACCCATCGACAAAATGTTTGAATATATTTTTCTCTCATTTTTTTCATGGCAGCATCTATCTCATTGTAGAATTTACCTTTTATTTGCTTCATCACATCATCAGGTTTTCAATAAAATATGTATCCAATGGTCCTTTAGCCCTAGGGTTTTAAGCATAGAAGTTGTTTAACTTTGACTAAATGTATTAGATTTTATTGCCTGGTATCTTTTGGATGGTCCAATGCATAAAATGTCATCATCCAACATCACATCAAAATCATCGTTTTCATCATTATTGGCATATGACATTTCATTAGTTTGGTCTTTTATGTCTCTGTTCTTCTTTAAAGAATCTTATATTTCATCATTCACATGCTTTGGGAAATTAGAGCAAGCTTTAGTATTTTTTAAACCCCCAACTAAATTTTGTTTATGATGAGTAATACCTTGCTCTGTAATTTTTCCACAAAAAATACATGTCACACAATTATTATGGTTTTCATTTGCTAAGATTGTATATTCCATGAAGGTTCTATATATCTTTGTAGTTTGAACTAAATTTGTTTTTTTTAGAATACCTATAAGCAAAATTGCATTTGGAAATTCTTATGCTTTTATTTTAGATATTTGGGTGAAATGATGAATAATAGATTATACAAAAGTAATGATTTTGTCATTCATAAATCTCAGTAGAAACTTTGAAGAAATTTGACTAATAATCATAATATATTTAGTTTGTAACTAATAAAATTATGAGGAACTTTTGCTTTCATCTTAAAAAATTTGGCACTCTTACATGTAATGATGGCGTCCGAGCTTATCTTGAGGTGGTTGCGATGGCGGCGTTTGATGACATGTTCTGGGTGAGTTCTCAACTTTTTTGTGGAGAAGAGGCGGGGCCTTGCGGGATTCTTTGATGGTAGGATTAAGGGAGATGATCTTCTTGATGTTGAGAAGAGCTGCATTGAAACTGAGGAGGAGAGGCGCGAGATGCAATGTACAGTTGATTGCTCTTCTTTGTTCAAAGCTGAGAAGCCTAGAGGGAGATACATGACTGATGCGATGTTTTTTCTATTTGAAGCCGATATACCGAGATGGGAGATGATGCCTTCCGAAGTCGAGATGCTAAGTGAGCTAGAGGGAGACGGCTAGGGCATAGGTCTTTTTTATTTATTATTTGAAAAAAATAAATTAATAAATTAACAAATATAAATATAAAGATTAATTTAAAATTTTAAACCCTAAAAAATAATATAGCATGTGTTATGTGGGATTCACGCTATGCAAAAAAAAAAAAAAAAAAGGAAAAAAGTGAGATTCACGCAATACGTTATTGCTCCAACATTACATAAATAGCTTGTGCCATTTTCAACTATGCACCGTGCCAAGTAAATAGCCCCGGATGCGTCGTGCTGTAGCATATGCCATGGTGTGTACTATTTTGTGCCATTGACATGTATGTTCAAGTGTATAAAAAATATTCTATAACCAATATGACTATAGATAGTTTTAAAATAAAGTATGCTATGTATGGTTTAAATTTATTTTATTCAACTAAAACAATGTGCATGACGATATATTTTGCTGCCATATAGAGTTAAAATAAACCCTTGCGCCTCACGCTGTGCTTAGTATTTTGAAAATACTGGCAACATTCCAGTATTATTATACTATAGTACTTAATAATTATGAAAATAAATCAATGCATCACTTATATCCTGAAATTAATGATTTTAGCATGACAAAAATAGGTCAAAGTACTTATAACATCAAATATTATTTATCCATTTAAAAGATGAAAGGTTTACAAACCAACCTATGAAATTGTTAGTAAAGAAAAGATTGAAACAGGTGGTGTTGGCTACTTAGATGATAAGTAGTAAAAAGATGATGGCTGCTTTTGCTCCTTACAAGAATGAAGAGGGACGGGTGGATCAATGATTATGAAAAAATGAGGTCATGATCAGGACAAAATGAGGTCACCATCTCAAAGAGGATGAGAAGAGTAGGGCTAGAAAATCTTGAAAACACGTGAGTCAACAAAATAGGTACTCAAATTATTAAAATAAAAAATAAAATTTTTGCCATGTTGTCATTGTATATATCTTGTGTTTTTGATGGATGTAAACTTTGAAAATTTCACACTCTATCTTGCTTGAAAAAATTTGAATTTGACGAATTGAGAATTGCACATTAAGCAAATCTCAACATAATAGAATAATCCATGAATTACCACATGCAAGCTTGTTGTCACGACAGTGAATAAAATATCCCTAGTTTCCACTGTCAATAATGGATATGATCTCATCATCTAAATTAGTCTTAAGAATATGCTGTACAATAGTATCTAATAGAGGATTGAATGTGGATTCACATGGAAGAGATGGAAATGGAGGATAATCCAAGAAATGATTTGACAACGTGATCATGAAATAATATTAAATTAATCACATTTAGAGCTAGGTGGATACCATAATTTCCTAGAATTTCTAATTTGTAGTCATTATCTCCAATGTATTTAACAATTTTGAATGGCCATGCTTCATTGCATTCAATTTCTTAAAAGTTCCTTATGAAAGCCTTTTTTGATTTAGATATGTCATGGCTTTTACTAATTTTAATTTTTATATACATAATGTTCATTTCAACAAAAAGTTTGTAATTGTCATAAATAATGGGTGATTCTTTGTGAATATCCTCATGCATATGTTGTGAAATTGTATTTATATGATATGAGACAATAACACCGTAGTTGTTGGGTCTTTAAGCCCTAGATGAGAAAAGTAGAGGGTTACGTTAAGTAGTCAACAACCAGCGTAAAACTTGTCGAAGAATCTTTACATTAATACTTTAATGATATATGATACAACAACAACAACAACAACAACATCAAGCCTTTATCCCATTACGTGGGGTCAGCTACATGAATCCTTTTTCTCCATTGTGTCCTATTAAAAGTCAAATTCTCGTTTAAAAAGTACTAATATGCATTATAATGAATACTAATTATGATTTATATTTAAATTCTAAAAAAATAAAATATTAGTGTGGGCTAGCTAATAAGACTGACATAAGATGGGGATAAATTAACTTTTTAATTAATTTCAAAAGAATAAAAAATTCTCAAACCAACGAATTACTAACAACAACACCCCATGGATCAAAGAGGTAGTAAAATTGCGAACTTCAATCCAATCATGCCGCAAGTTAGCAAAAATCCCATAATATCTTGCAAGCAAGAAATCCACAAAAGCCCATCCCAGGAAAATAGACATGTGTAGAAATGAGATATGCAAAGTTGCATGGGAACTACAACTTAACATTTGTAACCCCAAGTGTGTAAATCTCAAGGTATTTTGATGCATAAGCCTCAAAATTAAAGTGTCAAAATACTTAAAAATATAAAAAAAAACAAACCATTTGAGAGCAATCCTTCTTAAGACTCAATAATAAGTAACATCATAAAAAATTGAGCTCAATTTTCTCCTAATAAATATTCTAGAGTAATTGACGTAGGATCTAGAGGATTTTTATGGTGAAGGTAATGATTTGATTGGTGTCCCTTTGGGTGGTGGTGGAAGGGTTATTTGGGTAATGATGAAATGAATATTTAGGGATTGTACAAGTTGGATGTTGATACTCCTAGGCTATCAAATGACAAAATTTTCTAGGAGGAACATGGGGAGGTGCTCTAGTGCTTAAGGAGTTATGATATTTTTAATCAGATTGCTCACAACATGAAATTGTCTTTAAATATTAGGCTTTAGGCTATTTTATCTTTGGTTGATTGAGGAGTTGAGCCTGTGGGAGGTTATGAGGGATATGGGGAATATTTGAGAGAGTTTTGAAAAGGTTGGACTTGTTTTGGGGTTTAGGAAAGTTATGCTCGAGGCTATGTAGAGGAGATGTTAATTTGTTGGGAAAGAGAAGGAACAACGGTGAGAAAAGATAGCTAATGACTTATCAAAATCTTAGGGGATTAGTCACCAAGCTTCACCGTAGAGTAGAAAACTATGCCTTTTTATTCGAAATTTGGACAAATAAATAGTCTCTTTATTCAATGAATCTAAAAAAATAAAAAGGAAGGTTCATTTGTAGGCCTTTTCTAAGCCTAGACAATTTCTTAAAGCCTTAAGAACCAATAAGTCACTATTACATGGATTGATGACTTGTCCTAATACAAAGGAAAAGAAACTAAGTGAAATAAAACAAAATTTAAAGTTTTGAAAAAAATATGAATATTTAAATTTGCCCAATATGCAAGTAGAATAGTCATGAAATTAAGCAATTGATGAAGATTATTGCTTCCTTGATTGATAAGATCCTCCTACCTACCAAGTGATTTTAAATTAAGCTTATTAATTATTCTACAATAATTTTGAAGAGATTATGGGCTGTTCAGGGGCTTGTATGGGGAAATGTGCATGATGAATTGCCCAATTCTTGATAGAGTGCCTTAATTTGTGATATTGTCCTTGATGTTTGTCTTGTTGCTGCATCAGTAATCCTAAAGTGTCAAAATATCATCATACGAAGCCATACAAGCACTCCATGATAAGTAAAAAGTCTAAGCTATAAGTAAGTAAAAATAAGTAGCAAGTCTAAAATAATTTAGTTATGCCTAAGAGTTTGAATTCAAAAGTCTCGCCTACTTCTATCACTAAGAGGGCTTCAGGAGAATCAACATCATAGTTGATTTCTTTTTCACCCTCTCATTCTCACTTATATCAATATCCTCCCAATTTTTTCATCATCTTCAATGTCAATTATGCTCCTCTTCCTATATCTATAAAATTAAAAAATAATATTATTTAAAAATGACTATATTGCCTTTTTATAATTTCTATTACTTAAAGTTTTTTATTAACATATTATGTTACTTCTTTGTTTACTTTTACTATTTTTGTTTCTTTTTTCATAAAGAAGTTAACATTGAGATCTTCCTTTTATAATTATGATGATGAAACTCTATTTTCATCTATCACAAACTATTATCTCCCACTTTAGCTAGTTACTTCTTGATGGTTCTTCTCTTTATGTTCACTTGCCCACCAGTTTTCTTATATGCTTAATTGGTTCTTACTGTTAGCCTCAACAGCTTCTTGCTCACAACCTTCTTCCCAAAAATGCTTCTCATACCTCATCTTCACACTCTCGTTCTTCATGCTGCCTCCACCTCCCAGTTTCTAGTTAGTCATTGAATTTCATAAGCTTTCTTAATTGTAAGTATTATTTCAGTGCCCTGCTATTCATATCTTTGATTTTTTTTTTCATAATTTTGAATGCCTGGAAATAACTATCATTAAAATATTATTATTTTTGTTGAAAATTATTACCATGTGTAATTTAAAATTGACTAATTAAATAACTATTTTGTGCTAATAAAATATGCATATTAATATATAAGTCATGAATGCTCTAGTTTATAAATTATAATGCACCATTTTGCTTTGTGCTTTGTACATTGAAGCAAAATGGAATCCTTGTACATCGCATTGACTTGGCTCTTTGAAAACACTACTTAAATATATGTATATATATTTTAAATTTACCATTCAATTGGGTTTGCTACATGGAGTAAAATTTTGAGCAAAAAAGTAGTAATATATAAAATTGAATCTAGTGAAAATGGAAATGATAAGATAAATTGGAAAATGATTTTCTAGGAGGATAGTAATGTACACATTATAGAAGATAACATATATTAAAAAATGGATTTATATGATTTTATCATGCACAATGATGATAGAAGATGCACTGACAAGATGAGTAAGATTGAGTTTTGAATAATTTGGTAAGGAAGAAGGTATAAAAGTGATATGTTTAAAAGTAGTATATATATATATATATTTTTTTTTGCAAAACGCGCATTATTCACTCATGTATAACTTAATATGAATGACTGGAGAATGATGATATTTAACATCGACCCCAAATAATTGGGGTAACTGAAATTTGATTTTATTGTATGATCCTTAACTTGTCATATTGAAGGTAGCTCATTTCATGCAGCCTTGTCCACGCATACGCGGTTGCTAGAGATATGCGAGGTGCCTTGTCTTGTACTGAAGAAATGAAAAGTGAGGGTATCGAGTTAACATTGGTGACATATAGCATCCTCATTGGTGGTTATGCCAATATCAATGATGCTGAGTAAGAATTCCTTCTCATTTTACTTATTTTTTCTGGTCTTTAATTTTGATCATATCGTCCTTTAATTTAAGGATATCATCAATAAAGCAGAACATAATACTCATTGTTTTCACGAAATTATCAGAATTTCCAGAAATACTGAAATCATTTGCCTGATTTTATTGAACTTTATAATTTGTTTAGTATTGTTATTCATTGCTTCATAATTTGTTTAGTATTGTTGTTCAGTTTGTCAACGTTCCTTTTTGGTGAGAAGATATGCGTTGCCAATTCAATGACTAATTAGATTGAATATTTAACTTTCCCAGCATTTCACTTAATTTGTAATTCAAGTTTTTAACTAATTCATTAAATATTTGTTTATCAACATTTGTGAAAATTACATTAGATACAGAGATTTAAACTATTAATTTTCTGTTTTTAGAAGATTGAGCATGTATACTGAGGGCTTTTCAGAATTATTAACCTAGGTTTCATGCCAAGGAATTATAAAAAAGTCTGTATATGTATTTTGTTTTTTTGTTGATGAATAAAGCTATGATGAGGTTGGGAACTATTCACAGTGGTTGACAGTTCTACATGCTTTAACGTTTAATAAGTTAAATGATCCAAAACTCTAGGAATCAAGCAACAAACAATTGGTTAAATGATCCAAGAGTCCTAGATTATACAGTGGTAGGGATTTGTGGACAGGCATGTAAATGATTCCCTCTGTTCTACGCCTCACTGTTGCTGGAATTTCCGTTGAAATGATAGATTTTTAACAACAAGAAGCTTTCCAATGTAAAATCCGGATGTTTGGATATCTACCCTAATCTTATTGGCTTTTGTCCTAGCCAAAACAGAGAGAAAAGGGGAAGGAGAGTGGTGTTCCTGTTTCCCTGAACAGTTGGTGGGACAGTGATGAGAGAGGAGGAATCTGATAAATCAAATGAAATTCTGATTTTCTTTGCATCAACAATGCTTATAATGCAAATATCAATTCAAATTCCTACTAGCTAAAATTAAGAAGAGGGCATCTCCTACCTAAAATCAACATTCTTAGATTTTAGGCATCCAACTTCTACATACAATGATTAGCCAATTCAATAGTCTAAAACCTAAGAATGGATAAGGAAAGTGATAAAAAGTAAAATTCAAATGAAACTTTAGTTTTTCATGTTCCTGAGGTATAAATTGTGTTTTATGTTGGCTCATATTTTTTTAAAAAACACTTCACTTAGATTTAGATGCCATTTTATCTTGCAATTAGGTCCCAACCGAGCTGATATGTTATTCTTCGCCATTTAATGCAATTGTGCGACCTTGTACATGATGCTTTTAATCATTTTTAGTGGGGAAATGACTAAAAATCTTTTGTCATGACCGTCTTCCTCACCTTTTGCTTTGTCCATTTCCATGTCATCTCTCTCCTCTGCTAGCACGACTGCTCCAAGTTTATGAGCAAAGATTGCTCCATTACTCACTTTTCTCTAGATCTAAATATCAACGAGTGATCTAGAATAATATCAATGCACTGCAACAATTCCTCTAGTCTTAGGTGAGCTGCACAAATATTCTCCGTAAGTACGCCCCACTCTAGATTTATAGATCAATGTGAGAGTAACATATTTTTAATAAAATATGACAGCTTAGATCTAATTTTCAAGCAGCATCACTTTGCTTTAGCTTTAATACTTAATAAATGTGTGGTTTTCTATAAAAAAATAAGAGTAAGGAGTGATGGATTGACAACAATCAAAAGGAACCGAGAGGTAAAAAAATGGCATATGAATCACAATAGCACTTAGATCTAGTTTCTAAGCATTATAGCTGCTTATTTTTTTTTCGAAGTGATTTTTTCTTTGTGGATAACCAAATGTCCCCTACAAACTTAGGAGCAGTAAATTTTTGTTGGAGTGCAAGGGAAGTTGTAGCTATTGAAGCATGTGGTTGAACTCCTAATCTCTTGTTGTCGGCTGGGAATGAAAATAACACCCTAAATCTTAGAGAAAGGGGAAGCATCACAGCTGTCAAGTGATGAAGCAATGCTATCACAGCATAATTCCTAAGTTAAATTATTTATGCAAGGGTTTTTAGGGTTATTCTAGCAAAAATTCAAGTAGTTATAACGGAAACTTAAGTTTAAGTGGAAAATGATCTGAGGGATTCAAGTGAAGTATTTAAAAAATATGGACTGATGCGGTCTACATGTTAAAAACCAACGCATAATTTACCCTTTCTTTATAGAGGTCATCTTTTAGCTATTGTTCTAAATTGTTCAATAGGAGTTAACACCCTATGCTCTAAAATTGTTCTGATGGCTTTCTTTGCATTTGCTATGGTTGCATCACATTTTTTTTTAATTTTAAGCAAGCAAAGCCATTAAAGAATATTCCAGTTTTGTGGTTGAATTATTCTTAAAACCCAATTGTGCTCAGAAACGAGCTTTTTTTTTTTTTTGCTCAGATACAAGCTTGTCTTTACTGTTCTTTGTTGCTTTTCTTGTTTGAGGTGTCAGAGCTGGGACTTAGATTCAATGATTACTTGTATTTCGTTGCAATTTTGTGACTTTCATACCAATGTGGTACCTTATAACTCGAGTAGTTTTCTTTCTCCCTCTCTCTCTTTAACTTGCAATGTTGAATTTTGGTTTAGAAGGTGGTGTTGATTTTTCCAATGTCGTACCTTATAACTCGAGTACATTTGCTTATTTTATAACCATATTAACGTCAGGGAGTTGATGTTGATTTTTCCTAATATATATTTATGATTGTTGTTCGTAGATGTTTGTATATTTGAGCTGACTTTCTAATTCCTTTTTTCTTGTTTTGGAAGATCTGCAGAGAAATTATTTATGGAGGCAAAACAGAAGCTAGCAGCACTCAATGCTATCATATATAGCAATATTATCTATGCCAATTGGTTAGTTTTTCGGAAGCATTCTGATCTGCTATATTTAATACTCTTTTTCAAAATTTCTTTTTCATGTAGACCGCTAGTGGACATTTGTTCACTGTTATTACCGCATGTGTATCAACTTTGGTTTGTGTATTGCACCTTTCCAATCTTTAGTTTCTTTCCGTTGAAATCTTTTACTTAACATGGAAAATGTCAAATCAGTGTTATGAGGAGACTATTTAGCCATGATTTCAATAAAGAGCTTGGAAATTATTAAACAATTTCTTTTTTTATTGCATAAAATTCTGATCAGTAATTTTTTATCGAACTATCATATGGATTTCAACTGTTTTAGCACTTTTATTTGCAAGTGTTACTTTTGCTGCTTTTTTTCTCTGCATAGTTTTGCGTGAATATATAGAGTTGGTTTAAAAAATTTCACATTTAATGCGGTCATTGTAATGACTAAAAGCTTTTGCTAACCCATGTAGTCAGTCTGGCAACATGTCTAGATCTGAAGATCTCGTGCGGGAGATGGAGGAACAAGGAATTGATGCACCAATTGATTTATATCATACTATGATGGACGGATATACAAATGACCGGAATGAGGACAAATGTCTGGTTGTTTTTGAAAGACTGAAGGTAAATTTCAGGTTAATGCTTGCTTGTTTGGTTATTTTTGGATTTAATTCTCACAGTTATACTGATGAGACTACTAAGAATGAAAAATGATGTGTGAACCATCCTTCCTCAACTAAAAATAATGAAGATATAGGTTCTTAAGCTAGCTATACATTCATTTTGTGGTACTAAGCCACAAGGAGACCAAGAGAAATATAATTGGGGAAAATTTGGGCATGAATAATATTCAATTCATTATGTCTATGATGGAAGGAGTGAGTAGGAGAGTCATACTGCTCTCAAATCAATCCTCCCAATCTTCTTCATCATAAATGAATGTATAGCAAGGTTGTACAAATCACCAAGGGTCTTCAAGTTTGAGGGCCGGTCAACAAGCCTCCTCTTCTTGGAGAAAGTCCAAATTTTGCAACACAAGAAAGACCATTCTCTCTTCATTCCATTAGGCTTAAATGGTTTTACACATGACATTTGAATTGCAAAATAGGAGGGAAAAGGATAGAAAAAGTTATTTTTTTTTTGGGTGAGGGGTGATACACTAGTGTCAGAAAGAGCTTGTTTAATCCTCCCATTATTATCTTCTCTTGGTTGGCCAAGCATACATGGGCCTTATGTATTATTTGAATTAATTTATTCAAGATTTGAAACTTCAAATTTCAAATTTTTAAAATTTGATTTTTACAATTTTCTTAATAATTGCTACTACAATTCAAAATACCATAACATGGCCTCTCATACCATTTACAGCATAAACATAAAATTAAAATGCTACTTAATTTCTTTGCCTTGTCCTTTGTCCTAGCATCTTATCAGCTTCATTCTTGCTGTGAGCTCGTGGTTGATCCATTTCTTCTTTGATGGGCATCTTGTGCCACATCAATACATGTATGTATCTATCTATATACATATATACATATAACATACATACATAATCTTTTCAACACAATTTTTTTTACATTCTCATAACATTTGATAAAATTCAAATATATATTATTCTGGAAAGGTCAATATCAACTTTTGGGGAAAAATTTTGTTTATAGTTCATCAACGCAGAAATATTTTGAGTTTGATCTTTTCGATTATTCAAATGATTATGATTTTTTTTAATGAGTAGTGATGTCAATAACAAATAGCTTTATCAATATGTTTAACTTGTATTTGCAAGCACTTTCATTCTCCCTTTGTATATTGATTGCTTTGTTTGCATTTTGTTTCAGGAATGTGGTTTTGCACCTTCCGTTATCAGTTATGGGTGTCTTATAAATTTGTACGCGAAGGTACGCTTGTTTAATGGTTTTGTAGCCTTAATGATATTTATTATTAGAGATTCTAAAAGCACAAAGAGCGTATCAGAAGTTACACTTTGCATTTGCCACATGGTACCCGTAAAAATAGGTAATGATAAGCAATATTATGGAATAATTTTGGTAAATATAAGTTAGAAAAAGGCAATATTTGGTCTTTCCATTAAGATCTTGTTATGAGCTTCGTGTATATGGTAAGAAGATGACTTCTTAGGGATGCACGGTGAGCCAAGTTTTCTTATGGGAAACTACCAGCGACCACTTGGTTGAGTGATTTTTTCTTTTATCTCTAAAGTGGATGTCATATTTTTTTTTCTCTGCAAAAAAAAAAAAAAAGTTGTACTTGCTGCGTGCTATTCTTATGAATACCCAACAACCAGAGTTTGCATGGTGAAGGGCGTAACTTGAGATATTCGTTAGGTCTTTAATTTTATATCAATCAGCCTTTGAATGATATACAGGAGATTCCAATTTTCACGCAAGATGTATTTAATTAAGTATAAAGAAAGAGAAATTGTGGCCACTTTTTATCATTTTCTTAGCCCCCATCATTGTTTCATCACAAGATTTTCTTTTAATTGGAACCATTATTTAAAATTATGTAATTTGAGGCTCGTCTCAGGTTGAGACATTTGTGAAGCACCTTGAGGCATACACCTTGTAGTGGGAGAAAGAGGTTTATGGCTTAATTGTTTGAAGCATTCCTTGAGATGCATTTAATGAGGCGTATGTCTCTATTTCATTCTTTTCATAAAATTTGGTGGATAATGAAGATTCCTTGGTTATTATTGATATGCTCTCGAATGATGATGTTCAAATTAAATTATACTAAAAAAAGGGATAACCGAACCATGTCGCCCACGTTGTCCACGTTGTGATCGAAGCAACTGCATGTGAAGGTTGTATAAAACGAACGAACGAAACTAACAGGAAGGTTACGCTCACTTTTGCTCGAAACCCTGGTTACTTTCGACACCTCTTGACCTCTACTCTCGATCTCCTTCTGCTCTAGCGACTCAAATCCCATCGACGACAACATTCCGATCCGCATGCACCAGTGCAGCACCAAACTCGTCCGCGCTTTCCTTGCCAACACCGTCCTAAGCCACACTCGAGACTCCCATGCCTCCCTACACCATTCGATCCCAGCCTCCTGTGAATGACTTCACCTCACATGCGGTAGCAAGCTGCCTCAAGCTTCTAACACATGAACAGGGTCCCTCAATGAGCTCTTCTCCATGTGACTTTAGCCCAACCCGCCGTGGGTAGCCCGCGTGCAATCCTTGCGGACGATCCACACTTGAGCCCGCCGTCTCTACGGATGAACCAACCCGATCGAGCGAGCCATAGATCTGCTTGCTTCGAGCCTCCCATGCATGTTCTCAGCCCGTTCTCAGATCCAATCTAACAACCTGAACGAACTTGTCGAGCCTTTGTCTCTATTATTATTATTAAAAGAAAAAGCATATGTTGCGATCTTTAAATTGGAGGTTACAATCGCCAAATCAGAGGAGTCAAAGATGTATGTCGGGGTTGATATGTCTCCCGAAGCATTTTTCCGTCTATTATTAATTCAGCCAAGCAGATCAAAAGGGCAAATGCCCTTCATAATCTCCCCTCGCGGGGAGGGGTCGCTGAAAGGCTGTCAAATCTTGGAAAAATGTTGAAGCACTGCGAGCGTTAATTGGAGGAGTCGAAGACTAATTCCTAGGTTGATTCGTCTCCCAAAGCCCTCGGTTGTCGAATCCTGTCTGGCTGGGCTGGTTTGAAAGGGCAAGTGCCCTTCCGACCTCCCCTTCGTAGGGAGGAGACCCAGTAGGTTGCCAAAATTATGCCAGGAGGCTGCTGAGCTTATAATTTGAGAGCTTCATTAATAAATTTAATTAGCTAGTCAATTTAAAATAATTTTTTTAAACTAACTAATCTATTAATTAATTCAATTAAAATTAAATTTCTAATCAATTAAATGATTGATTAACTCAATTTAATTAATAACTAGATAAAAATTTCCAAACTTAATTGAACTAAGTACATTGAGCAAGAGAGCTTTTAATTAATAAAATACTTTAATTAATCAATTAAAACATTAATTAACCAATTGATTAACTAATTAAACAACTAATCAATTAATTAAACAAATTAAATAATAATCTAACTTAGTGTCTAATCAATTTAAAATAAAAAATCCAATTTAATTAAATAACTTAAAATATAATTGATTAATAATAAATTAAAACCCTTTTTAATTAATTAATAATTCAATTGATTAATTAATATTAAAATTCAATTTAAAACTAAAACTTTTAATTAAATGAATTAATAAGTTTAAACCTTTAAATTAATTAAATTAGTTGAGCAATCTGTTTTAAATTCAATTCGTAATTTAATTAATAATTAAGTAAATTTAAAATATATTTAAATTAATTAACGATCCAAAAGGTTGATTTTAATTTAAAATTTAAACCTTAAATTAAACTAATATAAAAAAAAAATGCAAGTATAAAATATTGAGGGGAGAGCCACTTTGGTGAATTTTACATTTTGTAAAATAGAAAACACGAAAAATCAATGTTTTCTACTAATCAGCCCTAAGTACAATGCACACCATCTAAAACCCAAAACTCCTAAAACTAAGAAAACATGAAATAGAAAGAAAGCTCCAAAACCCTAAGAAACCTAAGCTCCGACAGTTGTAAGGTCCAGCTCCTGCAGCTCCTCACCACAAACACCTGTAAACAAGTAAAACAAAAGTCAGCATTGGTACTAAAACAAGCTCATATTAAAACAAAACTAGTACTAAAGGAGAAAGAACTATTAATACTTGCAAAACTAGTGCTGAAAGAAAACTAGAACTGTAGACAAAATAAAGTGCTGGAAACAAGGTACTAAAGCCAAAACAACACAAACACTAGCGTTGGTGTCAAGAAAATGAAGTTTGTAAAACTACATGTCTACTGCTGAAGTCACCCTAGGTTAAACTTAACAGGTAACTCCCAAGGGGAGTAGTAAAACCTATGTAAACTAATTCGTTGAGGGTTCTCCCAAGGGGAGGCGAAAGAATTAAAAATCAAACAATGAGTCACCTCTAATAAAAGTTGTAAGTCTCACTTTAATTAGGGTGTTACGAAAAACTTTCTCATAACAAATAATACATCGTTGATAACCATGACAACCTCTAATAGAGGCCGTAAAACCTGCTGCACGGGCTACTTCTAATAGAAGCAGTAAGACCCACATGTTAGGGGAAGTCTCTAGGTAAAAGTTACCTAACCCTAAATCCCAACTACGGGTTATTTCCAAGCGAAGCAATAAGACCCGCATGCTAGGGAAACTTCTAAGTGAACAACCCTAAATCCAAACCTACAAACTACTTCCAAGGGAAGCCATATGACCTGCTATACGTGCTACTTTCAATGAAAGCAGTAAGACCCAACCTTTTAAACCTTACAGGCTACTTCTATAGAAGCAGTAAGACCCACTTCTCAAAACTTCTTAAACCTATATGGGCCACTTCCATGGGAAGCCGTAAGATCTACTATACGGGCTATTTTCAATGAAAGTCGTAAGCCCCGACCCCAAATTCAAAGCAAATTACAGGTAACTTCTAAACAAAGCCGTAAGCCCTAAACCAATTCAAACAACTGGGTAACTTCTAAATGAAGTTATAAATCCCAAACTAAATTAAATAATCGGTATTCTAATAGTTATAAACCCCAAACCATTATAAACCTAAATTCCACACACATCTACTTCAGTTTTCTCGGGATCTCTGAGAGGAGGCAACTCATGACTGCTAATCAGATTCCTTAGACGCTACATTCAACGGTCGTTAGTGTTTGTAGACTGAAACCTACGGTATACCAAGGACGACAAAACTTATGAGATCTTGATCGGGTTTACCTCCATCCTCCATAATCAAAATTAAAATTGTTGCTTGTCTAAACATCGATTCATCTTTAATCGAGAGTTCTCTTCTATCCGTTATGAGAGGTTATTAATTTTGAGGGCTTGCACTCATAGGAAGTGGAACCCCATAGGAAATATGGTTAATTTAAATTCTAATCTACCTCGGGGAAAATGGGATCTAAAGCTTGCAAAATCTGGGTTTGTGCCGTAGCACCATCTTTTCTTGAGCGATGACAGACGAATGATTTGTGGAAGATGAAAAATGAAGCTTCATTGTCAAAATTACCAAAGGATGATCTCATTGCTTTTTTTTTTTGGAGAAAAGAACAAGAACAACAGAAGTAAAAAATAAATTATAAAAAAAGATCAACATAAATCTTGCGGAATAGAACTTATAAAAAATTGATCATGTCATTATGTTAAATAATACTCTTATTGAATTGTATTGATTAGGAAAGAGGAAGATGATTGTGAGTATGTTAATTTAAGTGAGGATGAGGGAGGCAGGAAAGAAATCAATCACAATGTTAATTTTAATGAAGACTTTTAAAGTAATGAAGTAGGAGAATCTTTTGAATTTGGATTCCTAAGTTATTACTAGTTTCATGAAAAGAAAATACCTTAATGCGTGATTGTGCTATTTTTCATCTCGAATTGACATGTGGTCGGTGTAGAGCATGAGGAGTTGACCTTGCCCTTTCTGGCTAACTGCTGAGTTTAACTTTTTTGACGACCAGAGGCCTTGGAAGGTTTATTTAGAGCTATCTTACATAGCAACCCGTCAAGCCTTGCTATCCTATGAACAAACAACTTATTATGCTTTTTAGAACGTGATGCATCAACTGACTGTGCAACCATATGGTTGAACCACTCCTTGAATCACTCAACTTGGCTATAAAGACAAACTACAACTTTATACTGGAAAACTAGAACTTACCTGGTTAAATGACAATTAGGGTGAGTACATCCACCCAAAAATTTGGCTGATTGAGTTAAGCTTCTTCAAAATTGCCCAACCCAACATGCTCATAGGATTGCATCAGGTATTACACGAAGATGTAGAAATTGGCTAGCCTTTGGGATTCATGATGGAGAAATATCAAATACCACGTCATCCATCCTTTTCTGGAAGAAGAAAGGCTAGGGTTCTTGACCTTTTTTTTTCTACTATAAGATTGAAAAATGATGTGCGAACCCTTCCTCAACTAAAAATAATGAAGAAATAGGTTCTTGACCTAGCTGTACATTCATTTTGTGGTACTAAGCCATAATGAGAATAATAGAAATATAATTCTGGAAAATTTGGGCATGAATAATATTCAATTCATTATGTCTATGGTGGAAGGAATGAGTAGTAGAATCAGATTATTAAAATAGTGTAAAAGCAAATGTCATTCTTAGATGATCAATCAAATGCACTCTGTGGAAGGAATGAGTAGGATAATCAGACTGCTCGGAATTCACTGTTTGCTCTTGGATTAAGATGGAAATTAAATCTCTTTTTTGAAGACCCAATATACATTTTAAAGATCCTCCTTAACAAGATCTCTTGAATACTTCATTCAATGAAGCAAATAATCTCCAATTAATTTTGGGGAAATTCAATGAAGATATAGGTTTTGAGGCAATTGTCCATCAATAATCTTTCCTTTCTGGCAGTTTAATTTTCCCTGTTCATTTGGAAATACTCTCTCTCTTTTTTAATTTTTTTTTTATTTTTTGGAAATACTCTTTCAAAATGAGGATTGGGTTTATTTGTACTTATAACTGTTTAGCAAGAAAATAAATATATCCCCTGTGATAGTGGAGAATTCTTTAATGAAGATATAAGTTCTTTCAATGAAGCAAATACTTCTCCAACTAATGCCGGGGAAATTCAATGAAGACATAGGTTTTGAGGCAACTGACCATCAATGATCATTCATTTCCTGACAGTTTGATTTTCACTGTTCATTTATAAATACTCTTCCAAAATGGTACAAGAAGGATTGGGTTTGTGCTTATAACTGTTTAGCAAGAAGAGAAAATATATCTCCTGTAATAGCAAAGAATTCTTTAATGAAGATATAAGTTCTTTCCACCTATCACTGAGTTTTAAGTTTGTCATCATCCTCTGTGGTTGAAGTGGAGGAATGGTTCAACTCTGTTGTGTTATAGAAAAATACCCCTCAAACTTAAGGGAAAATTTTATAAGATGGTGGTGAGACTTCCAATACTTTATGGCGCAGAATATTGGACCTATTGTAGTAACTTCTCTTTTTCTTACAATATAAAATTTAACACTAGTTCTTGGCAAGTTTGACTATATTAACACTAGTTCTTGGCAAGTTTGACTAAACTTGGAGGATGAAAGGACCTATTGTAGTAACTTCTCTTTTTCTTACAATATAAAATTTATTATAGCTCATTTTTAATGCTTCATTAGGTAGAATAAAATAAATATTTGGTTTCTTTGTATAAATTAATTTAGATGTAGAAGTTTGAAAAATTGAGAAAGATATAGAGGGCCCTATAGGAATTCTAAAAAAAGAATATGTGATGCAAAAAATTTAGCTTTTAGTGATTTATATAATAGATTATATATTAAAGAAGAAGAAAGATATATGTATAAGTTAGCCGAAGAAAGAGATATGAGAAATAAATATTTAGTTCAAGTGAATTACATTAAGGATGAAGATAAAAAATATTTTTATTATAAGGGGACATTTAACATTGGTGGATGAAATATTTCGATAAATTTTTCAATCAAGATTGTGAGAATAAGATTAACTTTAGTGATCTTAGCAGAATGAAAATAAAGAATTTTATTTTTATCATCTTATTAGTAAAATCAAAGTTATAGAGGTTTTAAAGAAAATGATTGTGGAAAAGATATAGAATCCAATGAAATTCAAATACACGTGTGGATGTGTTTATAAGATCAAGGAATTTTTTGACTCACGAAGATTTTTAATATTATTTTGAAGACTAAAAAGATACTATATAAGTGGAGGAGTGTGTTGTTTCTTATTTTTAAGAATAAAGGTGATGCACAAGAGTGTGTGAATTATAGAGGAATTAGGTTAATGTGTCATACATCAAAGTTATGGGGGATTGAATAATTGAGCATAGGTTATGACGTGATATTAATGTTTCTCAAAATTAATTTGGATTCATGCCGGGTAGGTCTAACATAGAAGTTATACATTTGATGAGAAGTTTGTGGAGAAGTATGGAGAGAGTAAGGAGGGTCTACATATGATATTATTGATTTAGAAAAAAAAAACATATGATAAAGTTCCAAGAGAAGTGCTTTGGGGGTTGTAGAAAAGAAAGGAGTTAATGATGCTTATATTCAAGTCATTAAGGATATGCATACAAAAGTTATTTCTTATGTTCAAACACAAGATAGCTTGACTAAGTATTTTTTATTTATTTTAGTTGGATTACTTATGTCAAGATTCTTCTTTAAGTCCATATCTTTTTGCTTTAGTCATGGATGTTCTTATTACATTTGCAAGAGGATGTACCTTGGTTTATGGTTTTTGCTGATGATATTCTTCTTGTTGATAAAACTAGAGAGGGAGTTGATGAAAAAAATGGAATTATGGAGGTTAATCTTAGACTCTAAAGGTTTTCATTTGAGATCTAAAATGGAATGCGTGGAGTGTAATTTTAGTAGGAATAGATCTAATGGTGAGATTGTGACATTGAGTGCTTAAGCTATTAAAAATAGTGCAAGTTTTAGATATCTTGGGTTTATTGTTCAAAGCGATAGTGAATTAGATGGTGATATTATTAGTATTATTCAAGTTGGATGGTTGAAGTGGAGGAATGTTTCAACTCTGTTGTGTTATAGAAAAATACCCCTCAAACTTAAGGGAAAATTTTATAAGATGGTGGTGAGACTTCCAATGCTTTATGGCGCAGAATATTGGCCATTAAAAGAGAAGCATAAAAAAGTTTAGTGTTGTAAAGATAAGGATGCTAAAGTGGACAAGTGGCTTTACAGTTAGAGACAGAGTGTGAAATGAGTATATATGTGAAAAGTTTTGAGTGGCTCAGTGGTAGATAAGATTAGATGGAGTCGCCTTAGATAGTTTGGTCGCATAAAAGGTCGGCCTTTTGATGACCTTGTCAGGAGAGTAGATGTATTAGCTCCGACCTATGTTAACAAATATAGAGGTAGACTTAAAAAGACTTGATTAGAAAGTTTTTAAAATGACCTTTAATATTAGATTTAAATGAGAACTTGACTCTTAATAGTACATGGAGAAAAAAGATTCGTGTAGCAGACCACACATAGTGGGATAATGCTTGTTGTTATTGGTTGTGCTAGATATTCTAAACGCTTTATTCCAATATGTCTGGTTACAATCTCATATATAATAAATTTTATGTTTTTTTCTTTCAGATTGGAAAGATGTCAAAGGCTGTTGAAGTTTGCAAAATAATGGAGTCTTGTGGGATTAAACATAACAGCAAGACATATTCAATGTTGATCAATGGCTTTATACAATTAGATGATTATGCCAATGCTTTCATTATTTTTGAGGAGATGCTAAAATCTGGCTTGAAGCCTGATGCTATTGTTTACAACATTATCATCAATGCATTCTGCAAGATGGGTAACATGGAGCGGGCTATTTGTCTTGTAGATGAAATGCAAAAAGAAAGGCACAAACCTTCTTCACGGACGTTCAGGCCTATCATTTATGGTTTTGCAACAGCTGGAGATACTAGAAGAGCTCTGGATATTTTTGATCTAATGAGACGACTTGGTTGCATCCCAACAGTTGAAACTTATAATGTTCTTATTCTTGGTCTGGCTCGCAAGCATCAGGTACTTTCATACTTTTTAACTATTTGCTAAGGGTGTGGGACTTGTTTATTTTATTTCAAATAGGTTACAATGCAAAGTAGAACCCTTAACTACTAAGTGCGGAGATTTATGAAGAAAAATGGTTATGCGGATTTCTCCTACTTGGAAGAAAACACACACTTTTATTTACCAGTAAACATCTTATTATTACATCATATTTGTCACACTATCAAACAGCCTCTTATACTCTAATGTGTTTTATTTGCTATAGATGGAGAAGGCGGTTGGAGTAATTGACAAAATGATTCTAGCTGGCATATCTCCAAATGAGCATACTTACACAACAATCATGGAAGGTTATGCAGCTGATGGTGATACTGGCAAAGCTTTTGAATATTTCACTAAAATTAAGGATGCTGGTCTGAAACTTGATGTATTTACCTATGAGTCATTACTCAAGGCATGCTGTAAATCGGGCCGGATGCAGAGTGCCTTGGCAGTAACCAGGGAAATGAGCGCTCGAAAAATTCCACGGAACACCTTTATATATAACATATTGATTGATGGGTTAGTGCTAGTCAGTAGGAAATCTTATTATTTGAGTTTGAATCATGATAATGTTTTAGTTCTTAATCCATATGCACACATACTAGCATCCTTTTGTGTATCAGATTAGGTTCTGTAACTATGATAGGAAATGTTTTAGTTCTTAATCCTGGGCCGGTTCACCCTGAACCGGCCTATCAAACTACTGATCCCATCCAGATAATGACAACTTCAAAGTTCTGGAATGTCGATCTGTATAATCATTTGAATTTTATCATTGAACTTTTCCATGATATCATTCTTAATACTGCAACTTATTATTTACGTGTTGTGATGATCTAGCCGCTGTAAACATGGTACTTAAAATAAGTATACACTATATTGTTGGAGTGTTTTTAGTTTGAACTTCACCTTCTTCTTAGCTTGTCAACGTCATATTTTAGCATAATATGGTAGTATGTTGCTTCTAGCATCACAAAATTCTGATTAACAAAGGACACCAGGATTTACCATTTTCATTTTTATCACTGCTTATAAGTTTTCTTCACTTCAGTTCCTATTCCTTTGTCCCTGTGGAGATTATCTTGATTGAAGATTTTCTGTTTTCTTCTTCTTTTTTTATTTTTTATTTTTTATTTTTTGGTTGTAGTTGGGCTCGGAGAGGGGATGTATGGGAAGCTGCTGACTTGATTCAGCAAATGAAACTTGATGGAGTTCTGCCTGACATACATACATATACTTCTTTCATTAATGCATGCTGTAGGGCAGGTGATATGCAGGTAATCCAAAACTCTAGATTTGTTAATAGAGGATACATGCACGTATGCAGATTTATGTTTTTTTTACTTTATTTTTACATTGTACAATAATATATCACTTCATCACTAGGGAATTAAAAAAAAATCAGTTTCGCTTTCTTTAATTTTATCATTCTAGACGTGCTTGATATTTATCTTTTCACTTTAATTCAGCTTTGACTTTTGCCACCACGTTAGCGCCATCTTTGTTGTGCTCTTCTCCCGTAATAATCTTTGACCCCCCTTAAACTATGGTCCCTCAACTCCTTAATATAGTGCCTTTTTAGTCATAACATCAAATTTTAGATTTAATGGTGTTAAATTAAAAGGTATTTTCGTCATTTTTTAATTAAATTATTTATTAAATATAATTTTCATATAATAGTATTTAAAAAAAATTATTAAGCATTTCTTTAATAAAAAATTATTAATAATTCTTATCTATAATGTTCATAAATTAAAATTAGAATTATTAATAATTTTTTAAATTAAAGCTAGAATTATTCTATCTTCGCATTTTTTATTTACAAGTACATTTCTAAAAAAATATTTTGTGATAATTGAGAAGTCTATATCCCAACTTTTCAGGGAAAAATTAAATTTGTTTAAATTGGTACTATTAAGCACATATTTGAAATTTTTTTAATTTATGGTGAATTTCTTTTACTTGAAGGCTTTTTTTATTATCATTATAAAAGGATGTAAAATAATTGGAGAGTAATTTGGTACCAATAACTTTAGGTTTAAAAATTATATTGATTTACTAGTATACTTGACTAATACAATTAACTCCAATATTAAATGTTAGGACAAAAAAGATCCATTTTAAAGGGTTGAGGGACTAAATTGGGCCATTAAAAGAGTTGGTGACTATTTTGATCCCTCACAAAGAGTTGAGGGATCATTTTGATATTTTTCTCCTTTTTTTTATCTATTTTTTCAGACATCTTTTTTTATATATTATTTTAATTAATTTTATTTATTTTTATATAATCTCCTGTATGAAATTTCATACCGAGTAAAGATTTCGCTGTCCAATATTAATAGGATATGTAGTAGACTGGCTGGCTATATATATTATAACGGCTCTTTGGAAAGTACCTGCTTCTCTTCAGCATTATAAAGAGAACTGTATGATCCCTTTCTTGTATTGTTTTTGCAGAAAGCAATTAAGGTGATTGAAGAAATGGAGGCTGCTGGAGTCACAGCTAACATTAAAACATATACTACACTAATCAGAGGTTGGGCACGGGCTTCTCTTCCTGAGAAGGCTTTGATGTGCTTTGAAGAGATGAAAAGGAGAGGACTGAAGCCAGACAATGCTGCTTACCATTGCTTAATGAGTTCACTTTTATCGAGGGCAACGGTTTCCGAGGAGTTCGTTTACTTGGGGATTTTGAGTGTGTGCAGAGAAATGGTTGACCGTGAATTGACCGTTGACATGAGAACGGCAGTTCATTGGTCCAAATGCCTGTTGAAGATTGAGAGAGCAGGTGGTGAGCTCACACAAGCATTGCAGAAGACTTTCCCTCCTGCTTGGAGTTCAAGTAAATTTGTTTTTACTAGTTCTGATCAAATAGAGATTATGGAAGCTGGTAACAAGAATTATTATGAAAGCAATTATAGTGATGATGATGATGATGACCAGTATAATATTTCATTAAGCTGATCTATGTAGTCAAGGTAAGTCGACCAGCTTTTTCTCCATTTTCTTGTAAACAAATTTTGATTTCTTTACTATTTATTTATTTATTTATCATTGAAAGTCCTTCATGTCGTGTCAACTCTATAATATATGGCAACAAGGATGTTAATTATACGACTATATGCTTGTGAATTAGCAACTTCTAATTTCAATCTCCTTTATCATCTTCTTATCAATCTCTTTGTCCTTCTCTACTTGTTTTAAAGCACACTACACAAGAGAATCCACTTTTCTAAAGCTTAGATGAATAAACGACAAAGGGAGAAAGGATTTGTACTTTGTACTACGTCTAGTTGGCTTGCTGTACCATTTGATTGCCCATGCTAGCAGAATTTTTGTTCTCCCTGATTCTTCAATGCTTTCTGCTATTCTCTTGGTCGTTAGAATTTAAGGGAATGCTTATGTTGTTGGTCCAGGGACTTCTTGCTATATCATTAGCAGTATTCAGATGTTGCTATATTAGATTGAGCTGATTAGGGGCGTCAAATATTGGACCCGATCTGAAAACTGAATCCAAAAATTTTAGGTTTGGGTTGACCCGAACTCGAAGCGGGTCGGGTTCGAGTGTGAAAAATCGACCCGTTTGCAAAATCGGGTGGGGTTCGGGTTGACCTGAAAACCCGGGAATGACCCGAAAAACCCGTCTGCCCTCTCTTATTGCCCTTGCCCACGTTGCCCGCAACCTGCCTGCCCCGGCTGCCCGCATTACTTCACATCACATCACATCGAATCACTGTCGCGTCTGCTCGTTTGCTTGCTGTTGTGTCATCGCATGCACCTCTGCCGCTGCCTCGCCGGCAGCCGCTGCTGGAGGTCCGAATTGCGTGCGTGAGTTACAGGAAATCGGAATAATCGAATAAGGTTTAAGACTTACGGTTCGGGTCGGTTGACCCGAACTCAAAGCGGGTCGAGTTCAGGTCCGAAAAATCGTCCCGTTTGTAAAAACAAGTCGAGTTCGGATTGACCCGAATAAAGTCAGGTCAGTTCCGGATTCGACCCGAATCCAATCCGTAATTTGAAATTGACACCCTAAAACTGATCAAATGTTGTAGAGGGGTCTTAATGATCCTAAGCATAAGGATTTTCTTCCTGATTCTTACAATTATTTTGTTGAAGTGAGTTGATGCAACCAAACATTGCATAAGCGATGTTTTAGCCGAGTATCTACATGTTTGGCTATCCCTTGAGAATAGGTAGAAAAGTACAGGTGTGCTTCGCAAATGTAACATTCTTAATCAAAATAATTGCCAATTCTACCATGGTGATTCTGAAACTTTTGTCCTTTGTTTTCTTGAATGCTGATTCATATTCAACATACTTAATACTGAACTGTGACTGCAGATTTGTTTCTTATGATACCCTCAAGTTCTCAAATACTGGATCACACTGTTTGCGATAAGAGATTTCAATAGAATCATTTTGACATCATCATTAATACTATCTAATTAGATATTTTAATATAATTCATATTAGAGTTAATTTAAAAAATTTTAAATTTATTTTCAATTTAATATGATATAAATTCTTCGTAAATAAGTATATAACATTAATCTCTTAATAATTTTTACTTATTCTATACAAAACATAGGATCTGAAATTATTATAAAGAAAATAATTTCACTCCTATGATTACAAAAAGCATTTTAAATTTTTTTTTTGAAAAGTAATGAGTGAAAAAAAAAGTTCAAATGAAATTATAATAGTTCAAAAAATAAAGCAAAGCTAAAAAATTGTCCAAAACAGACCCATAATCTTCAAGCTATAAGTAATAATTAACAATATTCACAAAAAGGCAGCAAAGGCTTCATTTGGGACGACTTTTTTACTGTTTCTTAAAGGTAACTTTCAAATACAAAAAATTTAATTTTTGTATTAAAAAAATGCTTTAAGAAATCGAAAAAAAGTCATCCCAAACGAAGCTTAAACCCTAAACACACAATTAACAATATTCACATACAGAGCTTTTAGAAAAGCATACTTATACAGTTATACTCTCCTGGGCGATACTACATCAAAATAACCAAAACCATCACTGCACTACGAGCAATTTATCTAAGCAAGACGAGCAATAAACATAGAATCATTGCTCAGATAGGGCTCCCTCGCGAGAAGCCTATCGAAGTAAGACACTTTCAATCCGTGCTTACGAGCAATATCAGATCGCACCCAATAAGGAGATTTGCCTGAGCAGCCAGCGACCACAACGATGGTGTTCCTGCCAACGAAATGAGCAAGAGGAACAATTGCCTCAGGCTCTGTAGCCAGAGAAGCATCCGCTAAAAATATGTGCGTGAAATGCTCCGAATCAAGCCCTGCAGCATAAAGCCTGAAGCTGCTCATAAAGGTGGATGTTATTATATTGAAACATTTGAGCTCTGCAAGTGGCGGACATGCGAAGCGCTCGCCATCTTCCTCATATAGGGATGCAGGAATTATGTCATCAGGCACAAGATCGTAATCTCGGTAGGCAGCATTAGCTCGGAAAAGACTAGAATCTGGTATTTCTTTCTTCAAACTTCTCAACAACACATCAGATGTATCGTTGGTGGGAGCACATACAAGGATTCTGCAGCGGGGATTAGTTCTGTAAATATTCACCAGTGCTAATTGAATAACCAGTCCGGTGGGCGACAGGTTTTGGACCAGCTGCCCATTCACAAGAAAAGGTATGGGGCCTTTGTGATTCAAAATCTTCCTTACATGGTCCTGAAATTTAACTGCCTTATCAGGGATGAAGTGCGAAGTGTTGGGGTGATATGAGACAGTTTGATCAGGGAATAGGACATTGTGTAATGAAGGATCACTTGCAACTGATATGGCTTGGTGGGCTCGCTTCAGGCAGACTCTATTGAAGGAGAAGCTAACATCGTATCTTTTGGCTGGAGAATGCTGTGAATGGAAATCGTCTCCGAATTCAACTAGAACAGTTGTGCTTTTCACCAACCGAAAGAGTCTCCCCTAACCAAAGAAATCATCAAGCACCAAATGAAAAACAGAGCCATCTAAAAGAAAGATGATTACGGCATCTCCAACCAAAAATCCCATTTTTTCACTCCAAAATACAGTGAAACTCAAAAATGCCGTGATTCATCTCCAATCGAACTCCAAATGTGGCTTCTGCAAAGCTAACCGTCTTTCGCGCATTTCTTCAGCAAATTCGGTTGAGATAAAAAAATCGAGTTGGTGAACAGTGCAACACCAATATTGACGTCGCACTATTCACCCTCCACCCATTAGCGATTAGCAAACCAGCTACGCCATATGGTTTGGAGTTCAGTTGGAGATGCCCCTACTGATATTAAAATGCAGTAATATGCAAAGTATTTGCTTCATTTAATTGGGGGACTCTTTTGTGTGATCATCATTATGCTATCAGGATTTAGGATATGATGATTAATTTCATTAAAAAGATTGTTGTAAAAATTTTAGTAGAGTCTAAAAATAGAACATATATTTATAAGAAATATTTGTGATAAAAAAAGGAGATAGAAAAAGCTATCAAGGAAAAGAAATGCACTTTTAAAGATGGCAATATTGAATGCTACTAAGGCTTATAATTATGACTAACAGAAAATTATAAATATTACAAAGTGAGCTATGAGGGAAGTAAAAAACTATATTTTTTATGATTTATATAATATGTTCTGTATATTTAAGGTTCTGCATTAATATTCCTGCTTTTTCTTGAAATTTATCACAGGAAGATATCATAAGCATTGTAAAAAGCAAGTTCTCACTATAAACTTTGCTAAGGAAAAAGTCAGAACTTATAACATGCAAATTTCAACACTAACCTTGAAAGGTCCAGCAAACTCATTCAACGGTTTAAGGAAGACAAAATCTCTTGATAGAAGATATGGACGCTTCTCAGGAACTGAATCAATCTCAAAGGCTACAAAGTCTCTCTGAACTAGCATAGTATTCTTTCTTTTCATGCGCGACGACTCTTGTGTATTTTTTGAGTTGGTTCTACTTTGTAGCTCCAGTTTGACTCCCTTCAACAGATATTCACTCCATTTCTGATCATTGTAAAATAACCAAATATATCAGGAGGTTCAAAGAGATAAGCAAAGTTTGTGAAATAAATGGGCCAAATTTAGCATTTACTGATGGTTTTTTAGTTCCTACACAAGGAAGCACGGACTTTCTCAATGATCCCATGATGTTTGGCGAACAAGGACTTAACAAAAGGTCTTAGAAAAACCAACAACAAAGAGGTTTTGGCTCAAATTGAAGTTTTTATACATGATAAAAAGTCTCTCCATTATTTTTACCCGTTTATTAAACGGGTCGGATTTGAATTGAGTAAATTCAAGCCGGATCAATTTTGGGTTAGACCCAAATCCGACCCATTAATCCATTTTGACCCCCCCCCCAGTCAACCCAAAGATGAAACTGACTTGCATCATAAACAGGTCAAAAATGTCAACTCAAACCAAATTGAATTAACCTATAATTCCAAACCAACACAACACAAAAAACATTTAAGTTCTGACGAGTTAGTGTTTAACCCGATCAAAAATGAATATGATAACTCGATTTGGACACAACCACAAAAAAAAAAAAATGATTTCTTCATAAAAATCAATTAAATAGCTAATTAATTATTTTTTGCCTTAACCCGAATTGACTCTGCACGATCCAAACCTAACCTAATTTTTTTAGTGACTTATCCTAACCTAAGAGTATAGAGAGAATAAGGAGGATCTACACATGATATTTATTGATTTAGAGAGCATATGATAAAGTTTTAACAGAAGTGTTGTAGAGAGTTGTAGAAAAAAAAGTGTTAATAATATTTATATTCAAATCATTAATGATATGTATATAGGAGTTATTACTTATGTTCAAACACAAGGTGATTCGACCAAATATTTTTCTTATTTCAGTTGGATTACATCAAGAACCAGATTTAAATCCATATCTTTTTTCTTTAGTCATGAATGTTCTTACTAGACATTTATAAGAGCATGCAACCTAGTGTAAGACTTTTGCTGATGATATTATTCTTCTTGAATCTTGATAAAACTAGAGAGGGAGTTCAAGAAAAATTTGAATTATGTATATCAATCTTAGAGTCCAAAGAAGTTTGTTTGAGTAGATCTAAAACGAAAAATATGGAGTGTACTTTCAGTAATAATAGATATGATAGGGGTCTTGTGACTTTGGATGATCAAGTCATTAATTTTTAGAGATCTTGGGTCTATTGTTCAAAGTGATGGTGAAAAAGATGGGATATTATTAATAGAAATCAAGTTGGATGGTTGGAGTGGAGTAAGGCATTGAGCCTGTTGTGTGATAGAAAAGCACCCAAGAAATTTAAAGAAAAATTCTATAAGATGGTGGTGTGACTTACAATGCTTAATTGTGAAGAATATTAGCCATTAAAAGAGAAGCAAAAAATTAATTTAAGTGTTGCATATATGAGAATGCTCAGGTGAATGAGTGGGTTTCTACTTAGAGACAGAAATGAGCATATATGTGAAAAGGTTGGAGTAGCTACAGTGCCATATAAGGTTAGAGAGAGTCACTTTAAATGATTTGGAGTCACATAAAACATCACTTTTTGATGACTTGATTAAGAGAGTAGATGTATTAGATCTAGACTATGTTAATATAGCGGTAGACCTAAAAATTCTTTGCTAAAAAGTAATAGAAATGTCATTTTTATTAGATTCAGATGAAATTTGACCCTTAAAAAGACATAATGGAGAAAAAAGATTTATGTAGCCAACCTCATATAGTGGGATAAAGGCTTGATGTTACTTTTGTTACACTAACACATACCCAACCCAAATATTATACGGGTTGAACATAGATTTTTAGTGTCGGATTTGAGTTAGATTTTTTTTTTTTTTTTTGAGTCGGTTATAACATTAAGAGCCCTAAAATAATGTGATCAAGAATAGTCTATAAAAGTATATATTTCTATTAAAAATCAAGTAAATAATATTGTTGTTGATGAATGAAGTAATTATGAACTTCTTGTAAGTAAGGTTGTGCCTAATGTTTTGAAAATCAAACCGGATCGACCAGTTTAACCAGTTCGATCGTGAACAGGTCGATGACCCTTTTAGGATAGTAGATGATGTAGCACTAAAAGCGAAAGTAATTATGTAATGTTGAAAATACACGCCTTTTAATTAGAGCAACAATAATTACGTTTACTTTTAGCGATTTAAACAAATATTAAAATAACAAGAAGATGATTTAAGCTTAGGCCAAATTATAAGATAAAAGCTAGACTCACAAAAAATCAGTTCCAATCACAATTAGCATAGCATGGAGTTGTTCAAAAGAAATCCCTATGTAAACATATAGATTAGGCACTAATTTGATCCAGTCACTCACACTCTTGATGTAAGCTAAATGGAGATAGGTTGCACAACCTTTATGATGCCACAAATTAAAGAGAAGACTTAGAAAAACAAAAGACTTGAAGAATGAGAAATTCAGCTTTATCCAGATTTGGAAACGATCTATCACTGAACAGGAGATAGTTGTTCTTCGATAGCGGTGACGAGAGAAAATATAATCCTTTCGACGTAGTTTTCGACGGTACGGTCAACCTCCAAGTTGATGTCAAAGAATGGAGACTTAAGGATGTCCACTTGTCCTTGATCGTTGTAAACAAACGCGTGATAACATTCTGGGTCAGCCATACATCAAGGAGTCGCTAATTACAAAGTTCTAGAACTTCTGGACAGCAATCAGTGAACTTCCGGATGATAGGACAGTAAGGAGAAGATGCAGAAATTTCGGGACAGCACTTGTTCTGCTACTGGACAGCAAACAGGAATTGTTCTATACAGTAATCTTGCTGGTCTTGGAAGTCCTGGACAGCAAATACGATCCGAAAAAATTCTGGACAATAATATCTAATCCAGAAATCTAGATAGCAGTTGCAATGGATTGAGGCGACAAGGGCTTGATGTGGTCGACTATGGGAAAGAAAAAATATCTCTTACTTGGAAAGAAAAATAATTGGGGAGGTAATAAAGGAGATGGAATAAAAAAAAGGATGGGAGGAGAGAGGGTGGGCCGATGGGTAGAGGGGTGGGGAGATGGGGAAGAGAATAATGGGGTTACCAAAGAGGGATGTTTAATTAGGGAATGTGATATTATGACAAATCCCTAATTAAATTAAATTGATGTCATTTAAGAACTTTTCTAAAATAAATCATCTTATTTTATGCAAGAATTTAAAATTCAAAATAGATTGAAATTTGAAATTAATAACTTTCCTAGTTTAAGATGTTTAATAAATGAAAAGTATTAAATGGGAATTTGAATTTTGGAGGCAAAGGGGAGGAGGTTGAGGCCGACGGGAAGCACTCTTCATCTTCCTCATACAGGGATGCAGGAATTATGTCATCAGGCACAAGATCGTAATCTCGGTAGGCAGCATTAGCTCGGAAAAGACTAGTTAACGGTATTTGTTTCCCCAAGCTTCTCAACAGCAGATCAGATGTCTTGTTGGTCGGAGAACATACGAGGATTCTGCAGCCAGGATTAGTTCTGTAAATACTAAGCAGTGCTACTTGAATAATCAGCCCGGTGAACGAAAGCTTTTCATCAGGAGGCCTCCCCTCTTTGACCAGCTGCCCATTCACGAGATAAGGTATGGGGCCTTTATGATTCAAAATCCTTTTTGCATGATCATGAAATGGAAGCACGTTTTCATGGAGGTGGAAAGTGTTGGGGTGAGAAGAGACGATTTGATCAGGGAAGAGGACACTACGAAATGAAGGATCACTTGCAATTGATATGGCATGGTGGGCTCGCTTCAGGCAGACCCTGTTGAAAGAGAAGTTCACATCGTATCTTTTGGATGGAGAATGCTGTGAATGGAAATCTTCTCCAAATTCAACTAGAACAGTTGTGCTTTTCACCAACCGAAAAAGTCTCCCCTAACCAAAGCAAATCATCAAGCACCAAATGAAAAACAGAGCTATCTAAAAGATGGTTACTGATATGAAAATGCAGTAATATGCGAAGTATTTGCTTCATTTAATAGGTGAGCTCTTTTACGTGATCATCATTATGCTATTATGATTTAGGATATGATGATTAAATTCATTAAGAAGATTGTTGTAGAAAATTTAGAAGAGTTTAAAAATAGATCATACATTGATAAGAATATTTGTGATAAAACAAGGAGATAGAAAAAGATATCAAGGAAAAGAAATGCACTTTTAAAGATCGTAATATTGAATACTATTAAGTGATGCAGGATTTAAGTGCCAAAATGCTGTTAGAAAATGATCTTGCAGAATTTAATTTAGAGAGCTTTATTAACTAAAATATTTGTAGAGATTAAACGAGGAAATAAAACAAGGTATGAGATTAGTTTAGGCCAAGCCACACGGATATAGATTAGGATCGCAAAATAATCAATGGTTCAAAACATAACGTACATGAAAGATTTCCAACAAGAAATCCCTACACTAACAATGAGATTAGTCACTATGAAAAGATCCCTCACTCAACTCTCTAAGTCATTAGGCTTTAGCGGAAGAACATTAACACTATTTTTATGAATCAAATAAGACCACAATTGAAAAAGCAACTATAAAGATATAAGAATTGGAGGAAGAGTTTATCCAAACTAAAGAAGATACGAAGCTCCGGTGTGATTCGTTTGGGTGTTTAAGAGAGAGTGGACAGCAACACACACCTCCTAGCTGCCTTTAGACAACACTTTGGTGATTTCTGGATGGTGGACAACAAACTAACTTGGGCTGGATTCTTTGGACAACAAACTGAAACCTTCAGACAACACACGACGATCTCCTGCGTGGACAGCAGAGAGAAGTGCAGAACTTCTCTGGACAACAACCAAACAATGTCCAGGAAATCTGGACAGCAATTTGGAAACATAGAATTAGGGTTTAGGAGTTGTTTTGGGAGAGAGGAAGGGAAGGAAAAGGTGGTGGAGCTGGCGGTTAATAGGGGGCGGGAAAGAAGATTTCCAAAATCTAAAATAATTTCAGATTTTGGGTTTGGAGTGAGTTAGGGTTATGTGATTTGAATTTCAAACAAGAAGGAAGAAAAGAAGGTAATCCTTAATGAGAGGTATGATTGAGGTCTTTGGAGGTAGGGGAGTTAATATGGAGAGAGGGAGAGAGAGAGAGAGGGGATGGTGTGAAAGTTCATTTTCAGTTTTTCCTTCCAGGATCGTCCGGGACGACGTGGGATCGTCCTGGGAAGATTAGTACAGGATCTGTGAACTGGGAGGTTCGTCCCAGGACGAAATTTGGATCGTCCGGACGAAATTTGTCCAGAGAGCAAGTCGTCCAGGAACGAATACACTTCGTTTGAAGAAGAAATTCGTCCAGAGGGCAAATCATCCCGGGACGAATACACTTCTCTATTTTCAGAAATGTGGATTGTATCACAAGGGACGATCTGCATGTGTATATATGGGTTTGAGATATTTTTAAAGAAAAAAATATCTGAGGAGAGAGAAAAAAACGAAGGAAAAGAAGAAAAAGTGATTTTTGGGCGACTTCAGTCTGTTTTCGTCCGTCGCCGTAGTTAAAAAAGTTGCTCGACTCGAGGTAAGGCAAATTATGCCTTTCTCTATTTTCAGAAATGTGGATTTTGACGACTTTTCTGTTTCAAATTCGATTACTGTTAGCGAAAATCTGGTATCATTTTGTTCTGCTAAACTTTTTACCTTGTAACTTTTAATATGTCTCTGAGACGAGGTTTTTGTACGTTTTGAGTATTTTCTGGAAGATTTTCACAGGGTATTTTGAATTCTACGGAGTTTTTATCGAATAGCGAATTATCTGGATGCCGATAATATTTGCTTTAGTACAATGAAAGTCTTGAAATGATGTTTTGTACTATCTGTGATAATTTGATAAATTTCTGAAATCGTGAATTATGTGGAATTTCCGTATACTGCCGTTGTGCCGCTGACGATTTTTTTGACTTAATCCGATTTTCTGAATTGGATGATTTGATGTGTTTGTATGCTATCACAAGGGAGTTATAAGGGGCCAGAATCCTTAGAGATTCTATCTGTGTCAGGGAAATTTGAAAATAAGTTCTGTTCTGAAAATTCTGTATATCTGACAAGTTTTGGTGCTGTAAGCACAAGGGAGGCATAAATGGCCAGAATCCGTTGAGATTCTGCTGTGTCAAGGAAGGGAGGCATAAGGGGTCAGAATCCGTTGAGATTCTGTCTGTGTCAGGAAAGGGAGGTATAAGAGGATAGAATGAGATTCTGTCTGTGTTCGGGAATCTGATATGTGAAATGTGATTTTATCTGATTTAAAATCTGATTTACATGATTCTATCTGTTCTGTACGATTCTGTTTATTCTGTACGATTCTGTCTGTTCTGTGAAATCTGACTTGAATATTCTGTTATATGAAATGAACTCCGTTTGTGGTTTGATTTTTGTTTGAGCAAGTATCTGTATTCTGTCTGCTTATAGATTTCTTTACGATTATCTGAATTCTGTACGGCTACTCTTCTGATGTATTTTCTAATGTGTGTTTCTGAAGATTTTGATTGACTAGTGTAGTCTTGCTGAGCTGTTTGCTCATCCTTGTTATCTGCGTGGTTTTCAGGTGTTGGGAAAGGGAAGGAAGTCTTGGACTAGCCATTCAGTATTTGATATGTGATTAGGTATTTTGTTCTTTTGATTTTTGTACAGTCATGACTTTTCTATCCTGTTCTTTCTGTATGTAGCCATGCACTATATTGTATATGATTATTTTGATGAAAGAAAAAAATATAGATGAACTGTTCTGTATATTTGGATGTTTATAGTAGCTCTATGTTCTGCATGTCTGATATTTGGAAGAAAGTCTGAAGCAAATTCCAAAGCTAGATCCTGGATGTTTCTCCGTCGCGGCCCGACGCGAAGAGATTCGTTCCGATCGGGTTGGGTCGTGACAGGTGGGGGGGGGGTGACATGGTGAGATAGGAGTAGGGCTTAGAGAAAATGATGAGGATATCAGTAGAAGATTTCAACGCACCTATCATCGCAGGAATCGTAGATCGACGGTTATGATTCATAGTCTCTATTTATGATGCTTTATTATATTTTTCATTTATTCTATTTCAAATTTTCCATTTGTACCCCCTATGAGTTATTTCTTTATGTTGTAATCCCGAGGGCATTTGAGTCATTTAGTTTCTTTATCTTAGAGGCTTATATATTAAGGCTTAAACCATTATATTAGATTAATGATAATTATGAATGAAAAATTTCAGATTTTCTTGTTTGATCTCTTTGTGAGTTCTTGAGAGTAGGAATCTTAGGAGAGGGCCTTGCATCACCCGTTAGCTGCCAGTGGATTCCGGGACTCGCGGTTAGTACTTAGTATTACCTTCTTCCTTCTTCCTTGGTTACCACCACCAGCTACCCAACCCCTTGCCACCGGCCGAATCATCCAAACCCCTTATGTTTCTTTCCCTAACCCGCCAACCCTCACCACCTCCATAAGCCGTCGGCCTCCCCAAACCCGTCCATCGTCGGTCTCCCCCAAGGCTCCCTAACCGCTGGCCTCCCCTAGCCTCCACTACCCGCCGGCCCCTCCCTCCCATGACCTTTGAATTTCAAAATTCAAATCAACCATAATTACTTTCCTCATTTGAATTCAAATTATATTTGAATTTAAAAGCTTTCCCTATTAATAAACTTAAATTAGGAAAACTTTTAATTACATTAAATCTGAAATCAATTTCAGATTTTATGACAATTCCTAATTAAATCCTCCCCGGACCCATACGTCGAACCTAGACACATCAAATCCCTCCCCCTATGGTCGACCCCTCTATAACCCCATTCTCTCTCCAATTTGCCACGACTCTCATTAAATGCCCCTTAAATTCCCCTTGGATGCCGCCCCACTTAAGCCCTCAATTAGGATTAATTTGGATTTCAAATTAATCTCACCTCCCCCACAATCTTCTTGATTTCAAAATTCAAATTGCATCTTCAATACCTTCCTAATTTATCATATTATTAATATGGAAAGTTTATTAATTTGAATAACAAATACTTTCTTAATTAATAAAACTATTTTAGGAAGTCTCCCCAATGGATGCAAATATGAAATTAATTCAGATTTGAAGTCATCAATCAACATTCAATGCAAAGATCCACATTCAACATGCAAAGATCCACATTCGTTGAATGTGGACGCTTTCCTCTTCCCTCCCTTGGCCGGCCCCTATGATGCACCGACACTTCTCCTCAAAGAGGCGTGCAGTGTCCGACACCGAGTTCGACACCACACTTGCCCAACACTCTTTCGACACGTGTCGGACACGCCGAAAACGTGTCCGATTAAAAAATATTAAATACAAATTGGACACGCGTGTCCGACACGCGTATCTTAAATATTTCATGAATTTTTTTAAATATAATTTCATGTATTTGACGGGATTTAAACTAAATTTCTTATTGTCTATCCATAACACCAAATCAACGTCCGCAATTAATACCCAATCATCGAATATTCTCATTTTCATTTCTTTTTGGCAGTGAAGGTATTTTCATCTCCTCTTTAAATCCTAAGATTAGGGGATATTAATTACTTCTTCCCTCCTTTATTCCACTTTGTTTGAAATTCTAAATTTCAATCTTCCCCATTCAAATTCCGCCAAAAACCTAAAATTGATGTCATATTTGAACTTATCTCCCCCAACAACGGACCCAACCCAACTCCCCCCTAGATCGTGATCTAGAGAGAGATTTTCTGCCATCACAACACTGCTGCCGAGCCTCTGGTTGATCCATGAATTGTTGTCCAGAAAACTACAGCAAATTCTCTTGTTGTCCCAAAACCCAGAGTTTCAGTTTTCGCTGCCCAGAAAGAATTCCAACAAGGGTAGCTTGCTGTCTAACAATCCGATAGCTTCCGTTTGCTGTCCAAGAGTCTTCACACAGCTGCCGTCTTCTTCACATTTGGGTAAACTTGACCAAGAACCTTAAGTGCCTATTGTCCTTTAGTGGCATCCTTGGTATTGTGTAGATTATTCTCCTGCTAAAGCCTAGTTCAAAGAGTGTGAGTGAGGGAAACTTGGAGGTGACATTTCTGTTTATTAGATGAGGGATTTTGTTATTTGCATATTTGGCTATACTATGTTTTGTTGTTATTTCAAATTGTTCCGCTAATCTAACTTTCCGAGTGAAGAGGCCGGTGAAGAGGCCGACAGGTCAAGGGGAAAAGGGGAGAGGAGAAAGGAAGAAGAAATTAACCACAAGCCCGGACACTTCCTGCAGCTGGTGGGTGATCCGATTCCCTCACCTAGGGTTTTCTCTCCGAAGCTCTCAAGCTCTCACAAAACTCATGGATGCAGGAATTTTCATAATCATTCATTCATTGACCCTCAAAGGAGGGGAGGGCTTTAAATAGTCCAAACAATAAAAAAAATACAAAAAGCTCAATTACCCCTAGGGCATACACCTAACTAGGCCCTCAAGCGAGGGCATAAATGAAAAAGTATAATAAACTCATGAAACATAATAAAAATAATAAGTCTAATACAATGATAATCAAAAGTAGATTGGTGCGATCGTAATTGTAGATCGTCAGCCCCGCCTATGGTAAACTTTCCGAGGCCTGATGTCCTCATCACTAAGGCTTATAATTATGACTATAAGAAAATTATAAATATTACAAAGAGAGCTATGAGTGAAGCAAAAACTATAACTTTTGATGATTTATATAATAGGTTCTGTATATTTAAGGTTCTGCATTAATTTTCCTGCTTTTTATTGAAATTTATCACATAAAGATGTCATAAGCATTGTAAAAAGCAAGTTCTCAATATTAACTTTGCTTAGGAAAAAAGTCAAACTTATAACAAGCAAATTTCAATACTAACCTTGAAAGGTCCAGCAAACTCATTCAACGGTTTTAGGAAGACAAAATCTCTTGATAGAAGATATGGACGCCTCTCAGGAACTGAATCAATCTCAAAGGCTACAAAGTCTCTCTGAACTAGAATAGTATTCTTCCTTTTCATGCTTGACTCTTGTGAATTTTTTGAGTTGGTTCTACTTTGTAGCTCCAGTTTGACTCCCTTCAACAGATATTCACTCCATTTATGATCATTGTAAAATAACAAAATATACCAGGAGGTTCAAAGAGATTAGTAAAGTTTGTGAAATAAATGGGCCAACTTTAGCATTTACTGATGGTTTTTTAGTTCCTACACAAGGAAGCACAGACGCCTATAAGACAAAAATCTGGACACAAACTTTCTCAATGATCCATTGATGTTTGGCGAACTAGGGCTTGACAAAAGGTCTTAGAAAAACCAACAACAAAGAGGTTTTGGCTCAAATTGAAGTTTTTATACATGATAAAAAAGTTTCTCTATTATTTTTACCCATTTACGGTTCGGGTTTGAATTGAGTAAATTCAAGCAGGGTCAATTTTGGGTTAGACCCAAATCCAACCCGTTAATCCATTTTGACCCCCCCCTAGTCAACCCAAAGATGAAACTGACTTGCATCATAAACAAGTCAAAAATGTCAACTCAAACCAAATTGCATTAACCTATAATCCCAAACCAACACGACACAAAAAACATTTAAGTTATGACGAGTTAGTGTTTAACCCGATCAAAAATGAATATGATAACTCGATTTGGACACAACCACAAAAAAAAAAAAGATTTCTTCATAAAAATCAATTAAATAGCTAATTAATTATTTTTTGGCTTAACCCGAATTGACTCGGCATGATCCAAATGTAACCTAATTTTTTAGTCACTTATGCTAACCTAAGAGTATAGAGAGAATAAGGAGGATTTACACATGATATTCATTGATTTAGAGAGCATATGATAAAGTTTTAACAGAAGTGTTGTAGAGAGTTGTAGGAAAAAAAGTGTTAATAATATTTATATTCAAATCATTAAGGATATGTATATAGGAGTTATTACTTATGTTCAAACACAAGGTGATTCGACCAAATATTTTTCTTATTTCAGTTATATTACATCAAGAACCAGATTTGAATCCATATCTTTTTTCTTTAGTCATGAATGTTCTTACTAGACATTTATAAGAGCATGCAACCTAGTGTAAGCCTTTGGCTGATGATATTATTCTTCTTGAATCTTGATAAAACTAGAGAGGGAGTTGAAGGAAAACTTGAATTATGTATATCAATCTTAGAGTCCAAAGAATTTTGTTTGAGTAGATCTAAAACGAAAAATATGGAGTGTACTTTTAGTAATAATAGATATGATAGGGGTCTTGTGACTTTGGATGATCAAGTAATTAATTTTTAGATATCTTGGGTCTATTGTTCAAAGTGATGGTGAAAAAGATGGGATATTATTAATAGAAATCAAGTTGGATGGTTGGAGTAGAGTAAGGCATTGAGCCTGTTGTGTGATAGAAAAGCACCCATGAAATTTAAAGGAAAATTCTATAAGATGGTGGTGAGACTTACAATGATTAATTGTGAAGAATATTAGCCATTAAAAGAGAAGCTAAAAAATTAATTTAAGAGTTGCATATATGAGAATGCTCAGGTGAATGAGTGGGTTTCCACTTAGAGACAGAAATGAGCATATACGTGAAAAGGTTGGAGTAGCTACAGTGCCATATAAGGTTAGAGAGAGTCACTTTAAATGATTTGGTCACATAAAACATCACTTTTCGATGACTCGATTAGGAGAGTAGATGTATTAGATCTAGACTATGTTAATATAGCGGTAGACCTAAAAAGTCTTTGCTAAAAAGTAATATAAATGACATATTTATTAGATTCAAATGAAATTTGACCCTTAAAAAGACACAATGGAGAAAAAGGATTCATGTAGCCAACCTCATATAGTGGGATAAATGCTTGATGTTAATTTTGTTACACTAACACAAACCCAACCCAAATATTATACAGGTTGAACATAGGTTTTTAGTGTTGAATTTGAGTTAGAATTTTTTTTAGCCGGTTATAACATTAAGAGCTCTAAAATAATGTGATCAAGAATAGTCTATAAAAGTATATATTTCTATTAAAAATCAAGTAAATAATATTGTTGTTGATGAATGAAGTTATTATGAACTTCTTGTAAGTAAGGTTGTGCCTAATGTTTTGAAAATCAAACCGGATCGACCAGTTTAACCAGTTCGATCGTGAACAGGTCGATGACCCTTTTAGGATAGTAGATGATGTAGCACTAAAAGTGAAAGTAATTATGTAATGCTGAAAATACACGCCTTTTAATTAGAGCAACAATAATTACGTTTACTTTTAGCAATTTAAACAAATATTAAAATAACAAGAAGATGATTTAAGCTTAGGCCAAATTATAAGATAAAAGTTAGATTCACAAAAAATCAGTTCCAATCACAATTAGCATAGCATGGAGGAGTTCAAAGGAAATCCCTATGTAAACATATAGATTAGGCACTAATTTGATCCACTCACTCACACTCTTGATGTAAGCTAAATGGAGATAGGTTGCACAACCTTTATGATGCCACAAATTAAAGAGAAGACTTAGAAAAACAAAAGACTTGAAGGAGAAATTCATCTTTATCCGGATTTGGAAACGATCTGTCACTGAACAAGAGATAGTTGTTCTTCGATAGCGGTGACGAGAGAAAATATAATCCTTTCGACATAGTCTTCGACAGTACGGTCGACCTTCAAGTTGATGTCAAAGAACGGAGACTTAAGGATGTCCACTTGTCCTTGATCGTTGTAAACAAACGCGTGATAACATTCCCGGTCAGCCATACATCAAGGAGTCGCTAATTACAAAGTTCTAGAACTTCTGGACAGCAATCAGTGAACTTCCGGATGATAGGACAGTAAGGAGAAGATGCAGAAATTTCGGGACAGCACTTGTTCTGCTACTGGACAGCAAACAGGAATTGTTCTATACAGTAATCTTGCTGGTCTTGGAAGTCCTGGACAGCAAATATGATCCGGAAAAATTCTGGACAATAATATTCTAGTCCAGAAATCTGGACAGCAGTTGCAACTGGATCGAGGCGACAAGGGCTTGATGTGGTCGACTATGGGAAAGAGAAAATATCTCTTACTTGGAAAGAAAAATAATTGGGGAGGTAATAAAGGAGATGGAATAAAAAAAAGGATGGGAGGAGAGAGGGTGGGCCGACGGGTAGAGGGGTGGGGAAGGGAATAATGGGGTTGCCAAAGAGCGAAGTTTAAGTAGGGAAGGGGATATTATGACAAACCCCTAATTAAATTAAATTAATGTCATTTAAGAACTTTCCTAAAATAAATCATCTATTTTTAGGCAAGAATTTCAAATTCAAAATAGATTGGAATTTGAAATTAATAACTTGCCTAGTTTAAGATGTTTAATAAATGGAAAGTATTAAATGTGGATTTAAATTTTGGAGGAAAAGGCGAGGAGGTTGAGGCCGGCGGCTAGGGTTAGGATTAGGGTTTGGGAGCTGGTGGTGATGGGGGGTCGGCCAAGAGAGGGAGAAGGGGAGGGATGGTCATCAGTTGAGGAGAGAGGGGAGGGATTGGCGGAAAGAGGAGGACCACGGACCCGGACGCTTCTTGCGGTTAGCGGGTACTACGCCGCTTTCACTTAGAGACTTCAAGCAAGCTCTCTCAAGAACTCTCACAACTCACAAACAAAGTGCAGAAAATTTTTCTTCATAATCATAATTACCCTCAAAAGATGAGGGGGTGGATTTAAATAGCTAACATATAATGAAGAAAAACAAAAAAACCAACATAGGACTACTCCCTCAAGTGAGTGCACAAATGAAAAATATGTATTAACAAACTCAATACAATAATAATAATAAAACTAATATAAATAATAACTCAAAAGTAAAGTGGTGCAATCGTGTTCGTTGATCGTCAGCCACTTCTTTGGTAAACTTTCCATTGCAGGAGCAAGTAGTGTTGCCAATAACGAAGGGATTAGATCACTACGTAGAACTCTTTTTCATACATGGAATAGCGCTGCCTGATGTCATTTAGCTTTTCGCTAAAGTTAGTAATAAGGTGACCTTCCTGGGACAAGACTCCTCCAATTCAAACCCCTAAAGCATCACAGGTAACTTCAAAGACTTTGAAGAAGTCAGGAAGTCTCATTACTAATTTTTTTCTTAATTTCCTCAAAGGATTTGGTGACAACTAAGGTCTAGTGAAAATCACCTTTTTTTTAGGCACTCAGTGATAGGAGATACGATAGTGCTAATGTTTTTTATGAATCTCCTATAAAAAGTGGCTAAGTCATGGAAGCTGCGGACTTCCCGAACATTTCGAGGAACAAACCATTTAAGTATGACTCTCACTTTGTTGGGGTTTATAGAAAACCCTTGGGTAGACACGATATGTGAGACCTCGTTCCCTTACTGTTCCTCTCTGACTTGGATTTTCCTCCCAGGATCGTCCGGGACGATATTGAGATCGTCCAGGACGATCTGTACTGTTCAAAATACCGTCCTGAGAATAGTTCTGGGAACCGTCCAGGACGATCGATTTTGGTCTGATCGTCCCGGGACGATTTTGCGATCGGCCGGGCCGATCAGCCTAATGATATAAGAAAATCAGCTCGTTTTGAGGAGAGAGAAAATCATTTTTTAAACAAAATATCTGATTTGAGGAGAGAGAAAGAGAAAGGGAAAAGAGGAAAAGCTTGGTTTCGGAGGCCGCGGAGCTATTTTCGTCCGACGCCGTTGTTGGAGAAAGTGAAGATCTCGTGGTAAGGACTCCAAATCCTATTTCTGTTTTCAGAGATATTGAGTTTTGACCGAGTTGTGCATTGTTTTGTGTTTTCGTAGTCGAACTTTTGACCTGATTTTGATTTGACACAACTTTCACCGCACAACTTTTGGTATGTTATAGATATGACTATTGTACACGATTTGAGTATTTCCTACGACGATTTTACCGGTCGGAATTAATTCTACGCGATTTTTATTGAATAGAAAATATCAGGACTTGATTTGATTTGGATTCTATAGAACAATAGTCTTGTATTGATGTCGTGGATATTCTACTGTAATTTGGAGAAATTTGAAATTTGTGCTTTTTGCAGGATTTTTGTGTAAATTTGACAGACTGCCGTTACTCTGCCCGATTTTCGTATGATTTCTGATTTT